TTTTTGAGACCGAGTTTCACTCTTGTTGCCCAGGCTGGAGTGCATTGGCATGATCTCGGCTCATTGTAACCTCCGACTCTCAGGTTCAAGCGATTCTTCTAAGCCTCCCGAGTTGCTGGGATTACAGGCATGAACCACCATGCCCAGCTAATTTTGTATTTTCAGTAGAGACGGGGTTTCTCCATGTTGGTCAGGCGGGTCTCGAACTCCCGACCTCAGGTGATCTGCCCGCCTCGGCCTCCCAAACTGCTGGGATTACAGGCATGAGCCACCACGCCCAGCCTGTTTTCATTTATTTATTTTTGAGACAGGGTCTCTCGCTCTGTTGCCCAGGCTGGAGTGTAATGGTGCAATCATGGCTCACTGCAGCTGCGGCCTCCTGGGCTCAAGTGATCCCCCTGCCTCAGCCTACTGAGCAGCAGGGACTACAGGCATGTGCCAGTACATCCAACTAATTTTTAAGTTTTTTGTAGAGACGAAGTCTTGCTGTTTCTTGCCTAAGCTGGTCTTGAACTCCTGGCTTCAAGAGATCCTCCTGTCTTAGCCTCCCAAAGTGTTAGGATTGTAGGTGTGAGCCACTAAGCCCCAGCTTATCACACATTTTAGAATATCTATAAAATCAATTCCTCCTTATTCATGCTAAACTTTTACATGTGTGAATCTTTGAATCAATTCATCCTCTTTTTGGATGAATTACAGCAATTACACTGAATAGAATCATTTTTCTCTCACAACTACACTTAGAAATTTTCTTCTTCTATCACTAACCTGGCTTTGGCATCATGACTCTCTCTTCTATAATGGCAGTCTCAACTCAAGAAACTGGTTTGGACCACCTATCTTTTTTTTTTTTTTTTTGAGATTAAGTCTCGCTCTGTCACCCAGGCTGGAGTGCAATGGCGCAATCTTGGCTCACTGTAACCTCCATCTCCCGGGTTCAAGCGATTCTCCTGCCTCAGCCTCCTGAGTAGCTGGAATTACAGACACATACCACCACACCCAGCTATCTGCATCTTTAGTAGAGACAGGGTTTCACCATGTTGGTCAGGCTGGTCTGGAACTCCTGACCTCGTGATTCGTCCGCCTCAGCCTACCAAAGTGCTGGGATTACAGGCGCGAGCCACCGTGCCCAGCCGGGACCACTTATCTTTTATGATTATTATACTACAGATCCCTTCCATTAGCATAGATAACTGAATGCTGACTGAGGCATGGTCATAAAATAAACAGATTGATTTGACAATTACTTTGTAATGAAAGCAAGAGTCAATATATGCTTACTAATACACAATCAGCATGTTGCTAAAAATAAGTTGTTTGATGCTAGGATATCCATTTCTACACAGATGTGACTTCTACTTGCAAATATTATAACATGCAAATTTTGTTTATTTTTCATTCAAGAGAGAAAAGTGATCCTGCTTAATTATTTAATATTAAATTACAATTTAATCATGCCAAGTACAGAATGACAGTGGGAATGTAGTCATTCAAATATCTGCCAATATCATTAGATCTAACACTGATAACTTTTGGTAAGTTTTTAACATACACTTACTATAGCTGAATAAAAATAAAGACCCTGTTTTTAAAACTAGCATAATCAAAAAATAAATTCTTTGTGGTATAATTGCCTATAGTCTATAAATTTTATTACTTCTCAGGTCTCTGTGACATTAATGGTGAATGTTTTCTTATTTTTCAGGGCTTAAATCTATTTTCATGTCTTGGAAATGAAGATATATTTGTCTCTTAAAAAAAAAAAAGCCAGCTGGGCACGGTGGCTCAGGCCTGTAATCCCAGCACTTTGGGAGGCTGAGGCGGGTGGACCACGAGATCAGGAAATCGAGACCATCCTGGCTAACATGGTGAAACCCTATCTCTACTAAAAATACAAATAATTAGCTGGGCGTGGTGGCAGGCACCTGTAGTCCCAGCTACTTGGGAGGCTGAGGCAGGAGAAGGGCGTGAACCCGGGAGGCGGAGCTTGCAGTGAGCCGAGATCACGCCACTGCACTCCATCCAGCCTGGGCGACAGAGCGAGACTGTTTCAAAAGAACAACAACAAAAAAAAGGCCGATGAGATTCTTAACAGCATGTAGTCTCCAATTCAAATAGAAAATACTATAGAAAATGCTAACTTGAGTGGACCAGTTTTAATCAGCGCCAAATAATTCCAGTATAGAACTAATTTTAGAGAAAGTAAAGTATGTAAACAAAATGGTTTCTTTTGTACAATAACAACTTTTCTATTTTGTTGAGAGCAGGTATCTAATTTGGTAACTTCACTTATTTTAATGATAGCAATGAAACAGGTAGTAAAGTAACAGATGTCACAAAATGCATGCATTTAAGCATAATCCACTTCCTCAAGTCTTCACTTTGAGTTTATTTATTCTTACTTTACAGGTAAGTCTAATAAACTTAGTAATCTGGTCTCCAAAATGAAAGCAGATCAGAAGGCACATTATGAAGGTAGAGAAGGGCTACTGCTACAGGCACACTTAAGCAAGCAGTAATAGAAATGGAAAAACGACTGTTAAAAAACAAAGACATGAAAACTAAAATGAGCACAGCAGAATGGAGCCATTTCGATTAGTCTATCAGATTATAATAAATAATGTTAATGATCATTTTGATACCAAATTAAAATACATTCATATACTATTTAAGAAGACAGTAATGCATATCAATTTTATGAAGATTTCCTTCAGAGATTATTCCAAAAAATTTTAGTGCTGAAAGAGGTTCAAGCTCTGCAGGAAACTGGGGTATCTAGAATGACTCATTCCCCAAATATTCAAGTTAGCCAGTTCTTATCAAATTAGCCATCTTTAGTCTCATACCAATAGTTCTAGAACGTAAATCTTGATGAACGGAGTTGAAGTTACATTTATAGTGCCATAAGTTTTAAATCTGTGTTCTGTACTAAGAACAATGAATGAGAACTATATATTTAACATTTTTCTGAAATATACACAATTATTTATTCAAAAATGATAGTCAAATTTCTCTTATAGTTGAATTCATAATGGAAGTCCTAGAAACATCATTACATAAAAACTGAATTAGAACTTCAAATATATGGCAATCATATATTCAGCCAAGTATTTGTTTTGGCAAGTTTTTAGTAAAGAACTAAGAGGCAAACAAAAGAATGCTAAGCAGTAAAACAGGTATCACAAAGTCCATGCACTTTACTGACAGAAAAGCCCCTTAGCTTTCTTTCAGTCTACTTACTCTTATTTTAGACACAATTCTAGCAAGCTTGGCAATCTGGTTTCTCAGTCCACAGCAGATTAGAAGCAGCAAATTAGGGGCCTATTGCAGGAGGCAGGCACACAAGACAGCGGCAAAAGTGACAGCTGATTATAAGGGAAGATAGAGAAACTGTGAAAAACAGACATAACTCAAAAAAGCACACCAATATGAGGTCATGTTGTAAAGGGGTACCTGACGTATATCTCAGTAGCCCCTGAGGATGAGTTTCTGTTTATCACCCCATGATAGAAACTGATATTCCTAAAGATGACAGAAAAAGTTAAATTATATTCTATATACTCTAGACAAAGTAGAGAAGTAGTGCATTTAGTTATTAAATTATTAAAATGGATTTTAGTTAGCTGAGAAGTTAACTTAGGCAAATTAATCACCTGTCTATGATGACAGATCAATGAATTGTTACTGAATTTTTTTCTATATTTTCTCTTCTAAAATATTTGTAGCTTTATTTTCTAATTAAATGTGAACTGCATAGCTATTTTCTTGTAAGTAGAATTGGGAAAATAAATCAATCTTTAGGCCTTGTGTGGTTGTCATTCTTAGTATAATATCTACTTTAGTTCAAACAATGATTTAGCCGAGCTATAACACACTCTTATAGTATTTAACCTGTTTCTTTGGTTTGGGTATAGGAACAATATACTATGATTAAACCAAATCAGTTGAACTTTTACTCCCATATGATTTCTCATAATTTGTCAAAAAAGTTTCATATTTTACCTTATTGATGGGAAGTGAAGAGTTAGTCACCAGAGTGAAATGATCTGTAAGGTCACACTCCACTGACTTACAATTTTGTGGAATGTATCAGGACTTGATTTTTTTAATGCTTTAACACTAAAAGCTTTATAACTTTTCTTATGTAAATCAGAATATTACTATTATTTTAAGAAAACTGAGTTTTAAATGAACTTTCCTACCTGGAGGTAGACAAAGGGTAAAAATTCTGTCTTCAAGAGTGACCTAAATAGACTCTCACATGCATTCTTCCATTAAGTACCAGGTTTGTCCTGGTAAAACAAACTACAGAAACATCTGTATTAAAAACTGTCAGGAAGATACTCCTGATAAGAATCTTACTGTTAAAAATCATACTGTAAAACTTAAAAAGCACAATTGTAAGTTTTCCCTGCAGTGTTTTATTTTTTTCCCCAGAGGGTTTCTTCTGTATATAGGCAGCAGCTTTTTTTTTTTGAGACGGAGTCTCGCTCTGTCGTCCAGGCTGGAGTGCAGTGACATGATCTCGGCTCACTGAAAGCTCTGCCTCCCAGGTTCATGCCATTCTCCTGCCTCAGCCTCCCGAGTAGCTGGGATTATAGGCGTCTGCCACCACGCCCGGCTAATTTTTTGTATTTTTAGTAGAGATGGGGTTTCACTATGTTGCCCAGGCTGGTTTTGAACTCCTGAGCTCAGGGAATCTGCCCGCCTCGGCCTCCCAAAGTGCTGGGATTACAGGCGTGAGCCACCACGCCCGGCCAGGGTGGCAGCTTTGAAAGCTAGTCAAAAGCCTGCTAAGGGAAGTAAAATATTCTTAGAAAAGTAACAAACAAGAAAACCTACTTATATTGCATTGGTCTGTTTTTAAATACTTCCTAAGGTATTCATGGCAAGAAGAGCAAAGTCCTAGACAGAGGTTCCTAGATTTTATTAGACATAAACATTATCTACGGCTCATTCCAAAATGACCAACTAAGAATCACTGGGAGTATGGTCTAAAATTTGCATTTTAAAAATAAGACTTTATTTATTTTGATGTAGTTACCCCACTAATACAACCGAGAAACACTGACTTCAAATATTATGAGAGAAAATTACTCCAGGAATTTGTGCAGAGAAGATAATACTTTATCTAGAAAATATTTTAAGTATTTTAAAAGATGAAAACTATACAAAAGAATAAATATTCAAATAAAGCTGCAAGATCTTTATGTCATAATTTCAATAAGTAGAGTTTTCACTGGATTATGTAACAAGTAGTGAATGAAACAGATCAGACTGAAAGACTGGAAATTCTTGATTAAAATTATTTAGTCTTTCAAAATTAAAAAGGTATCACCTTAGAGAGCACTGAATAAAACTGATACAATATTATGAAGATATTTCCCCCAAACTTTGTAGCTTTATTTTCTAATTAAGTGTGAATTGCATAGCTATTTCAACTGCATAGCTATTACAATTGTGTAATAAAAATAACATACAATAAAATAATTAAAAATTATTAAACTCTAATTCTTCCCTGTGTAAGGTTATAGGTTAAGAGAGAGATTACCAAGTTTTTCCATAATTGCCTCTTCTAAATCCAAAGAAAAAGAAATCAGTAAACTAAATAAGCGATTTAAATAAGAAAGTAAACCCTAAGTATTATTGAAGAATTTAACAGTTATAACACATAAAGATTTTTAAAATTGAAATTTAGCTATTTCTAAGTAGTAAAGCAAGACCCAACCTAAGGTATTGCTCCTAAGAGGTTAATTATAGATAAGTTCCAGGATTTTGGCAAAAAGGCAAAATCACTTATAGTACAATAATCTCTACTATTTATATAAAGCAGAATCAAGTTTTTTCTCAGGTTAAAAAGTAAATTAGATTCCTGAAAGAAAAAAAATCCCCTTCAGTATAAGTAAATTTACTCACTAAAAGTGGTAAGTTACAGGAATTTGAATGTGTTTCTTTACTCTAAAGACAATCTAGATTCATCATGCGATTTCCTTTCTAGGACAGCAACATAAATTGAGTTATTCCTACATTTCCCCCAAATAATGTCTATAGAACTATGTACTGCATAGGAGCTACAGGTCTCAAAACTGTATACGCTGAAAATAATTACTCTTTGAAAATGCAATCACAACACAAGACAGATGAGATTGGCCAATATGAAAAGCAGTCTCTGTTAAGAGGTAGTTTGTAAATGAAATACTAAGGAGGCAAGGATGCTTTCCAGCAGGCTGACAGGATGTTTCCTGAATCTCATTAAGGTGGACAGGGCTAGAAAACAGCAGCATTGTGACCTGTTTGTGTTAATGGTACCCAATTATCCAAGGTAAAGTGATACAAGGAACATTTTTCTGCTTGCTAAATTGGGGGTGGGGCCTTGGAGTACAAGAATCCCACTTGGACATCATCACTTTCAATTGCAGAAAGAAAGGTGAAAGTGTAATTCTAAAAAATCGTACAATGTTTTTCTTTTAAAGATCACTAGGACATCTTAAAATTAACTACTAAATATACACACGAACAAGGAAACATAAGAAATGTCATAACCCATGCACGGTTGAAACTACTTTTAGTTCCAAACCCCAGCACACATCAATTGTATCAATTAATTTTTTTATTCAGAACCTGGATCTTTGTTTTAAGATTGGTATAAACAAAAATAAAATACAAACAAGTTGTTATTAACATAATAGCTGCAGTTATTAACTGCAAGAATACAGTAAAAAGGAGTCATACTAAATGTTAATGTTCTTGCAACAGAATTTTCCCAATCACCTCATGGTAGCAAATTCTGGCAAGAAATGATAATTCATTTCTTATTAAAAATACTTAAAGAATTTCCAAGATTGATCAGTTGTGCCACAAATAAAACAGCAGTTTATTCAAAAGAGCCCTTACCTTTCTCTTATTTTCCTAAAAGATCTGCCATTTACAGGTAACTACTAATTTCAGATCAGTTATTCAAACCAGGGTTCTTCCTATAAATCCACATCTTAGCTTTATATATAGTAAACTTACACTCATATTCCCTTTCCAGTCTTGAAGCTAAACACTTTTGTAAAAGGAACAATCTAAAATCACTTCATATGAATCTTGGTTCTTACTTTTCTTCTATCTCATTTTTATTTTCTTCTATTATTTGTTCTTCCTCCTCATCACCAAAAGTCTGTTCCTGCATGGTGGTAAAGGAGAGAGATCTAGCAGCCACTTCTGCAGCAAGGCCAGCAGTGAAGGTAAAATCCGGTGACAGCTGTAGCCGTGCCAGCCTCTGCTTAATGGAGGGCTGTAATGAGTCCCTGGGAGTTGGAGGGGCAGTGGTCAGACCACTTCCATCTGCTTGCAGTTCATCTTCACTCTCACACTGGTAACACATTCTTTCTTCTGCTCCTTGGGGGAAGACTTCATTTGAAGAATTATCTGTATTTTTACCTTCTAGAGAGTTTTCACATAAATACTCAGTCCTACTTATTTCATTGTCTGATGTGGTGGATTTACTACTTTCCTCTTCAGTATCATTTTTACTGACTTTTCCCATATCTGAATTCACTGATGGTTCTGAATTACTTATGGGTTCCACTGGGTCTACAGGAGACAAGGATTTCAACACGGCTTCAAATAAAAAAAAAAAGAAAAAAGAAAAAAAAAATAACTAAGGACCTAGCAATGATTTAAACTTTTAATTCAAACTCTCAGTTTAAGTTTTTTCTTAAAAAGAACAATAAATAAATAAAAGCTAAATAAAACTTTCTAGTAAAATCAATGAAAATTTATAAATCCAGGAAACTTTGTAAGAGAGAAAATGCCTAAGAAATGAAATGAGATGGGGATTTGATGAAGGTTTTTAAGACACCTCACATATTATCTTATTTAAAATATTAAAGCAGTGGTTCTGAAAGTGTGTTCCCTGAACCAACATTATCATTTATCACCTAGGAATTTGTTAAAAATGCAAATTCTTGGGCCTGATCCCAGACCTCCTGAAATGGAAACTCTGGGAGTAGGGACCAGCTGTATTTTACAAGCCCTCATCTTGATTCTGATACACACTAAAGTTTGAGAACCACTGTATTAGGGAATGAGCAGCATGGTTTTCACTGATAATACGTCAGATAAAAGGCTTAAAGTAATCTAGATAATAATAATATCTTCAACATGTATACATGTATATTTACAAGTTAAAACAGCATGGAAAAAATGCAACACACAATTTAACTTACTTGCCAACCACCTCACAAGACCCTAATGAAAGTAAAGCCATAACTTCTACACATTTTGTAGTACCACGAAAAATACAAATGAAATAAAGTCTTCATTCAAGATCAACTATTGTACAAAATATAATACATAAATATAACATATATTCATACGGTAGAAGTTGTCCTTGCAAGGAAAATGCAGTTTTATTTAGCCCCTCTTGATGTTAGTAGGCAGTGGGTTGCTTGCTAGGCAGTCGCTCATCCCAGCATGAGGGGTTAGTACAATACAATATAGTATGAAGCATGACGGAAGGAAAAAAGTGCTTCTCGAAGAGCTGGCGTGTATTTAAAAAACGTTTTTGTAAAACGTGTCCACTTCCAGGAACCATCCCTAAGCTGCAGTAACTCCACTAGAGAAGCAGCAACAACAGAAAAAAAATGGCCACAGCAGGTTCCAGTGCAGACTTTCCCCCTCTAATTCCATGCGGACTTTACCCCTGTAGGCAGAGATGAAAACAGCTCTGGAAGATGTACTGAAATTTTTCATGGGAAAAGCATTCTATGGTATCAGCAGCTTTTTACTTATTTTCACAAACTAAAAAACAGCATTATGACCCTTTCCAATGTAAACTATATCAAAAGCACATACCTGAAAAAGAGATACATTTCTCATTGATAAAATCTTTTCCCATAATGTCAATAGCATAACTTTAAAGCTATATGAAGAAAACACTAAACAATAAAAAAGGATACAAGTTTATATACAATGCTATTTTCAGTCTATGTACATTCTTAGTTTATAAATCTGTTAGCTCTTAAAGGAAGCAATGTATATTAGAAGTTGGTTGATACTCACAATTATTACTAATTAAATGGGGGGGATATAATCTGTGTAATGAGAGGATCAATTGACAAGTGTGTTAGAATTTAAGCCTCAAGGCAGGTAGGAGGCTTTACATTTTGTTTCTTGATCTGTGTGCTAGGGATACAGCAGAGACTCGAATACATAACAAGTACTCAATAACTACTTGTTGAATGAGTAATTTGCTGAATGAATGCTGTGGGATAATAAGGCCCCTATTTAAGAAGACTGTAATTTTGTTACAGAGACACACAAAACAAAACAAAACAAAACCTTGAACATATAGAAAACAATAGTGCCTAAAATTAATCTCTGATGTATGTAGGCTCAGTATATGAATGAACAGATTGCAGGAAATCAATCTGTTAATCATTTCCCTTCTCTGCTATATGCTTTGGGGCTCAAGACTTCCTTTATCTTTCATCACAATGTCCCTCTAGTACAAGGGTCTGTAGTGTTAGGAGAGGTGGTAGAGCTGGAGCACTCAGAGAAGAATTCATGGAGAAGGAGAGACTAGTAGAGAGGACAGCTTGGTGGAGAAGGCAGAATTTTTGGCAAAGGGGTAAGCGTGAATTTTTTTTTTTTTTTTTTGAGAGAGTCTCACTCTGTCGCCCAGGCTGGAGTGCAGTGGCGTGATCTCGGCTCACTGCAACCTCCACCTCCCAGGTTCAGGTGATTCTCCTGCCTCAGCCTCCAGAGTAGCTGGGATTACAGGTGTGCGCTATCACGTCTGGCTAATTTTTGTATTTTTGGTAGAGATGGGTTTTCTCCATGTTGGCCAGGCTGGTCTCTAACTCCTGACATCAAGTGATCCACCTACCTTGGCCTCCCAAAGTGTTGGAATTAGAGGCGTGAGCCACCGCGCTTGGCCAGCATGAAATTTTTTCATGAATAAAAATAACAAATTTGTGAACTATAGTTTAATTTGATAAACATAAGAAGACACCTATAGTAAAAACAGTAGAAAATATAATTGGATGGGTGAATTCTTATGATGAAGAGACTTGAAAACAGGAAGAAGAATTCAGATTCAATACAATAAGGGAGAAATCACTAGAGGTTTTAAGATAGAGAGCTATCATCATTGCAGTGTTGGAGAAAAATCTGGAAAGAGTTTGCAAGATAGCTTAGAAGAAAAAGGTACTGAAAATGTAAGTTAGCTAAGAGGCTATTTTAATGTACGAGGATAATCTAATGAGGACCTGGGCTATAAAGGGAGCCAATAGGAAGAAAGAGGAATGATAAAACTTAGAAACGTAGATCTGGACAGGGGAGAACATAGGGCTCCTGAGTGAAAAAAAAAAAGAGAACTGGAGGAACTTTCCAGAAGTATAGGTAATCTATATACTTCTAGTGAGGAGGGAAAAGGAAGGCAGTTGATTTCGAGGGTCCACACAGATACTCTAAAATAGAAGGGAAGTCGTACTCTACCTACTTAGAAATCCATAGGCATTAATTCAACTAAGAATTAGCTAGGTTGATATTGTCAAGTATTAAGCTTCCCGATTCCTTCCCCTGTCTCCCACGAATTTTGACTTAAGAAAAGAATGGTGAGAAACAGAAAGGAATTTAAGTCTTGCATCACCAGCTATCCCATTCTGCTGAAATCAGAGTATGGGGAGTATGCCCACAGGCACCCCCCTCCCCTCCCATCTACTAAAGTGCTCAAACCACTTAAATAATGCTAATGATGTGGCTCACTGGTCTAGGTTTTAATTCTTTCTTTTCTTTTATTTTGAGATGAAGTCTCCCTCTGTTGCCCAGGCTGGAGTGCAGTGGCATGATCTCGGCTCACTGAAACCTCCGCCTCCCGGGTTCAAGTGATTCTCCTGCCTCAGCCTCTCAAGTAGCTGGGACTACAGGCACGTACCACCATGCCTGGTTAATTTTTGTATTTTTAGTAGAGACGGGGTTTCGCCATGTTGGCCACGCTGGTCTTGAACTCCTGACCTCAAATGATCCACCCGCCTCAGCTTTCCAAAGTGCTAATATTACAGGCATGTGCTGCCACGCCTGGGCCATTTTTTTCAATGTGAACACAGTTATTAGTTTTGTGCTTCACTGAGGTATTTTAAAATATTTTAACATATGGAGAACAAAGTTGAGAATCTCAAATTCACTAAATTTGAAAATAACATTTAAAATATCCCAAATTACTCAACTCACTGTCCATTCTAAAACAAATTTACTAAAAAATTAAACAACCGATATAAAAGTGTGACTTGCTTTCTCCAATATGGTTACATTCCTACTCTTTTATTAATCAGATTTATTTAGCATCTAGAAGAAAAAGTACTATGCATACTGGTGGACCCTTATAAAACCCCAAGAATTCTTCAGCTAAAACAACATTAATGGTTCAAGAAAGAGAGAATCTCCTATACTGAAATAACCTGTTACTTTAAAGTCAGTGCTTACCATGATCACTAAATAGAAGTTGCTTCCACTTCTGCCTTTCTGCCTCTGAAGCTTTAAATCCCAGCACAGATTTTAACTCTTGGAGCACTCTCTTGGATTCTTCATGCTCACGCTTCTGTCTCTCTTTGTCTTCTTGAGACAAGTAATAAAAATCATCCTTTCTGAAATCACTATCAATATCTATATCATCTACATAAGCTTCTAATTCCTGAAAATGAATAGAAGAAAAAGCACTTTACTTGAAGCAGACAATTCTCTAGTAAGCATTCATTTACTTGCACTTACTTATCTCTGAGATTAAAAAAAAGGACTTGCATTTGGCACAGGTCATTAAAGCAGAGCTAAGAAAAGAAAAAAGTAAATATATACCTATGGATAAATTGAAATCTTCAAAAAAAACCTAACAGTTGATACTAGAAAGCACTGTGGATAAAAAAGTTTAACAACTTCAGTGGTTATTTTTCTACTCTGAGAACATACCATCCACTTAGTGTTACAGCCATTAGCTACATCAAAACCAATCAAAATTAGAAGGGCTGGCAGTTTAGGGAGGTGGTCAGGCATGTTTGTTTTCTTGTGGTTCTTTCGGATTTCCCAGGAAGTTTGAACACTCTTCCTAGGATTAGGGAACACCCCACCTTATGGTCTTCCCTATCTCTAAGACAGAGGGTAGGATGCTTGCTTACCCAAGCAGTATCCTTACAGTATAGGCTCAGGTAAATGACCTGGGATCCTCTAATCAGACGTACCAGCATCAGATCAGATTTAGAAGTCTGTGATAAAAGAAGCAGGCACCAGGCGGGCGCGGTGGCTCATGCCTGTAATCCCAGCACTTTGGGAGGCTGAGGCGGGTGGATCACGAGGTCAGGAGTTCAAGACCAGCCTGGCCAAGATGGTGACACCTGTCTCTACTAAAAACTACAAAAATTAGCCAAGCGCGGTGGCAGGCGCCTGTAATCCCAGCTACTCAGGAGGCTGAGGCAGGAGAGTCGTTTGAACCCCGGCAGCAGAGATTGCAGTGAGTCGAGATCATGCCACTGCACTCCAGCCTGGGTCAAAGAGTGAGACTCGGTCTCGAAAAAAAATAAAAAAGAAGCAGGCACCAGGATGTTGCAGATATGTTTCTTGAGGTAGCACTTTTGGAGGTAATTTTTACTATTCAGCATTGATGGAGCAAGAGGCAACATCTCCACTCATTAACTTAGCAATGATATCTCCATTGCAACAGTTCTTTTGAGTGATTCGGCTGTTTACCCTAGCCTCATTCAAGCCTGCTTATCTGGCTCTCTGAAATATTCTGTAAGCTACCCAGAAGTTTAAATAAAGTGTCTGTTAAACTAACTAGGGTTGGTTTCCATTTGCAATTAAGAATACTGAATAGTAACTTGTTATTCAATATACACGAAAAAAAAATAATGAGTAGATAATATGACCTAAGGAAAAGAGGTTTTTCTTAGAATGAACAAAAGTAATCTTTGTCAATATCCAATGCGATTATCAAAAATTTGTTTTTAAAAGTGAGGTATATCAGTACATGCAGTCAAGTGCACAGGATTTTTACATATGCACACATACCAGTAACTGCTACTCAGATCAAGATAAAACCATTTCCAGCATCCCAAAAGGTAGCTCTGTACTAATTTTCAATGTGTTCAATCACTCTTGAAAGCCACTCAGATATGGACAATTAGATATAAATAACAACCAAAAAAAAGTCTGCTGGCGGATTCAATGAATTCAGAGTTAAGCACTAAGAATTAATGATTTGATATAAATTCAATAAATTATGCTGTAATTTTGAAGCTCATTAGAAACATAAATCCAACAAGGGAAAGAACAGTAGTTTTCACCCTTACCTGCTCCTCTGGGATTGGATCTTTGTCTGCAATGTGTAGAGTAGGCTGCTTCAAAGGTACTACTGTACAAGGTGGGTTTTCACATGCTATTTCAGGCTTGCCTTTAAAAAATGGGAGTAGGTGGGAATAAAGATAAGAAACAGACCACACAGAAACGAGTGAACATCTAATTAAAAATATCCTTGGGGCCAGGTGTGGTTGCTCATGCCTGTAATCCCAGCACTTTGGGAGGCTGAGGTGGAAGGATAGCTTGAGCCCAGGAGTTCAAGACCAGCCTGGAAACAAAGTAAGACCCTGTAGCTACAAAAACTAAAAAAGATCAGCTGGGCATGGTGGTGCACACCTGTAGTCCCAGCTACTTGGGAGGCTGAGGTGGGAGGATCGCTTGAGCTGTGGAGATCAAGGCTACAGTGAGCAGTGATCACGCCACTGCACTCCAGCCTGGGCAACAGAGCTAGATTCTGTCTCCCTGCCAAAAAATCCTTGGTACTAATACTTTGTCAATTTCATAGTCCAACTTGTTCTAATAATTTTTTATTTATAAAAAAAGATATTCAAATGAAAAACAATAAATTAGTAGATTTACAACTTAACTCTAAGTCTTTAAACTCTGGGAGAAGAGGACCTGCCCTTCTCTCTTCACCTCACCACAGTATCTGGTACACACCAGGTACTCTATAAATACTTGTTGAACAAAATATTATCATTCACAGCATAGGAACAGTCTTAAGACAGACCATCACTCTTCTTCACAAAATACAAATTTCAATCTTACCCTGAGGCTATTTTAACTCTCAGAAGTTGGAATTGGAAATGAGTTCACAAGTAAATATCTTTACAAGAACACCCAAGTGAGTTTAACTTTGATTAATTCTTAAAATTTGTGTTTGGTATTTACTGACAGGGTTACTTAGTCTCATATCTGGCTGGCTACCATTCATCATTGCCTTTCTACTTATAAAAAAAGAAGTATAGTTTAAACTTCTTGATTTTTACTTTTCAAAAGTAACAATAGTTAAATGGTTTTAAAAAAGAAGTATTTTGGAAATGTTACCAAAAAATAACTGGTTAGTTTGTAGGAAAGATGGCAGAATGATTAATAAATTAATAGGAAGCACTAATGAGAGACAGAATAGCATAGTGGCTAAGAGCTATAGAGTTAGTCACACCTGGGTTAAATCCCAGCTCTTGCTGCTTTCTAGTTTAAATTACAGTTAACTGGCCAGGCACAGTGGCTCACGCCTGTAATCCTAGTACTTTGTGAGGCCAAGGCAGGAAGATCACGAGGTCAGGAGTTCAAGACCAGCATGACCAACATGGTGAAATCCCGTCTCTACTAAAAATAGAAAAATTAGCCGGGCATGGTGGTATGTACCTGTAATCCCAGCTACTCAGGAGGATGAGGCAGGAGAATTGCTTGAACCCAGGAGGCAGAGGTTGCAGTGAGCTAAGACTGTGCCATTATACTCCAGCCTGGGCAACAGAGCGAGACTCGTCTCAAAAAAAAAAAAGAAAAAGAAAAAGAAAAAGAAAAGGCCAGATGCAGTGGCTCACGCCTGTAATCCCAGCACTTTGGGAGGCCAAGGTGGGTGGATCATGAGGTCAGGAGTTCGAGACCAGCCTGGCTAATATGGTGAAACCCCGTCTTTAATAAAAATACAAACATTAGCTGGGTATGGTGGCGTGCGCCTGTAGTCCCGGGTATTCGGGAGGCTGAGGCAGGAGAATTACTTGAATCTGGGAGGCGGAGGTTGCAGTGAGGCGAGATCGCGCCACTGCACTCCAGCCTGGGCGACAGAACGAGACTCTGTCCCCCCAAAATAAATAAATAAATAAATAAATAAATAAATAAATAAATAAATAAATACAGTTATCTGTAGAACAGTGGTGAAAATAATAGTACTATCTTGTAAGATTAAAAAAGAATATATGAAAAGTGCTTAAAACAATGCCTGCTACAGATTACATGCTCAAAAACTGCTATTATTGCCTAATTAGCAGAACACAGATTTCATTATGTCAATGCTGGCACCACAGATTGAGCTCTTTGAATGAAAAGAAAAAAAAAAAATCCGTAAGACTATTAATAGCAATAAACAAGTACATTAAACAGTGTGCTGGTAATCCAGCTCTCAAACAAAACAAAACACCCAATTTGCAGCACTTCCTGATTTCCAGTTCCCATGGTGTAAATGCACCCACTGTGACCAATTCTAAGCTACCAATGATGTTAAACTGACTCACAAATTTCTGAATATTTAACAACCTTTGGAGAGCTAGCTCCAGCATGCAATTCATTTAACAAAAATCTAGCAAGAGGACAGGTGTGGTGGCTCCTCAAGCCTGTAATCCCAGCACTTTGGGAGGCCAATACGGGCTGATCACTTGAGGTTAGGAGTTGGAGCCCAGCCTGGCCAACATGGCGAAAACCCGTCTCTACCAAAAAACACAAAAACTAGCTGGGCATGGTGGTACATGGCTGTAATTCCAGCTATTCGAGAGGCTGAGGCAACATGATCATTTGAACCTGGGAGGTAGAGCTTGCAGTGAGCTGAAATTGTGCCAATGCACTCCACACTCCAGCCTGCACGACACAGTGAGACTCTTTCTCAAAAAACAAACAAACAAACACAAAAAGCCTAAAAAATTTTTAAAAACCCACCAGATTTTTAATTACACGCTTGCAGTAATAGCTTTTACAAACAGCACAGAAGGTTATAAAGTGAAAAAAGCTCCCTGATGACCTTATCCCTCAATTCTACTGTCTGAAAGCAGGGGCTTGCCAAATCTGTCCCACTGCCTGCTCTTGTAAATAAATTTTTCCTAGAACACAGCCACACTCATTTAAGTATAGTCTATGGGTGCTTTCACACTACAACAGCAGAGTAAAGTAGTTGTAACAGACACACCATATGGCCTGCAAGGCAGAAAATCTTTAGAGAAAAAAGTTGCAGACCCTTATCTCAGAGCAATACTTCTCAAATTTCTCAGACTTTAATGTGGATACAAATTACCAGATCTTATTAAAATACAGGCAGATTTAAAGTCAGGGGTGCATTTGTAACAAGCTCTCATGTGATGCTTATATGCTAGTCTGGGGATCACTCTGAGTAACAAGGCCCTAGAGGTAATAAATGTGAAGTGTTTTAAAATGATGTGACACACATACATACACATGTGCATACACATATATTTTTGAGACAGGGTCTCACTGTATCACCAAAGGTGGAGCTCAGTTGTGCAATCATCGCTCACTGCAGCCTCGACCTCCTGGGCTCAATCAATCATTCCACCTCAGCCTCCCGAATAACTTTTTTTTGTAGAGATGGGGTTTTGCCATGTTGCCCAGGCTGGTCTCAAACTACTGGGTTCAAGTGATCCTCCCTCCTTGGCCTCCCAAAGTGCTGAGATTACAGGCATGAGCCACTGCACCTAGCCTGTGATATTTTTAACAATGGGAAACTGTTATTAACTGGAGATTCTTTTCTATGGCAATCCTCGAGTAATGCCAAAGTTATAACCTATTCTCAATGATTTCCTGCGCTTACCACAATATATATGTAGATATATATGTGTATATACGCATGAATGTGTACATACATCTTTATATAAATTCTATATAAAATATGGAATGATTCATGCATTTGTACATCGTCCTTACACAAAGGACATGTTAATTGTCTCTGTAACATTCTAATTTTAATACATGTGCTGCCAAAGTCAAGTACCCTAATCTTGGTTTCTAAATGCCATTCTCCATTAAAAGGTTTTACAAGCCATTCCTCCCTCCATCTCTAGTTCCTTGCAACTACTGATCTGTTTTCTGTTCCTTCGCCAACTAAGAGTGCCTCATAAGTGGAATAACATTGTATGTAGTGGTTTGAATGTGACATCTTTCACTTGGCATAACGTATCAGAGATTCATTCATTGTGTTGTATGCATTGGTAGTTCACTTTTTTTTGTTGCTGAGTAGTATTTCACTGTATGGATGGATGTAACAGCTTAGTCACATCCCAAAGCCTAGCACTTCTAGTTTTTAGTTTATGAACAAAATATTTATGTATAGGTATTTGTGTGAACACTAAGTTTTTACATTTCTTGGTTAAATATGTAGGAATGATACTACTGGGTCATATGGTATATGCATTCATAGTGGTTAAAATTTTGATGAAGAAACCATATTTATAAAACAGTATTTCTTTACAAAATAATTATCATGAAAGACTAAGGAAAAGGAGAATAAAGAGCATGACAACTGAACACCATACACAATCTAGGTCTAGATATATAAAAAATATTGGGACAATCAGGGAAATCTGAATGAGTTCTGTGGATAAAATGGTTGGTGTTTATTTTCTGATTTTGATGGTATACTGTGGGTACATAGAAGAATGTTCCTGCTTTACAAAAATATTTTAGAGGTAATGGGGTTTCAAGTCTACAACTTACTCTCAGATGGTTCAGAGTAACACCATCATCAAAAGAATGACACACATATACAGATACATAGAAAGATAAGGCAATTGTGGCAGAATGTCAACAACTAGGGAATATTGATGAAGGAGACTTTCAACTATTGCAACTTTTCTGTAAGTTTGAAATGATTTCAAAATAAGACCTTTTTAAAAAAAGATATGGCTAAAGTACCTGCTTCTTAAAATATTCAAATGAACATTTTAAAAATTTAAACCTGTGTAGTCATGGCCACTGTGAATTTTTTAGTGAGAAAAGTTTGCAAACTATTTGTGTCTTAATCCATATCATTATTATCTATGAACAAAAGCCACACATACAGAAAATAATTAGAAAATGGCTTAATTACCCAATGAGGTGAAGAAAGTTTTCACAGTAATGGTTAACAATAACAGGTAAATGTTAGACTAAGATTCAACATCTCAGAGTGTGCTAAAGGAGGGGTGAATGGGATGCATCTTTCTTTTTTTTTTTTTTGAGACGGAGTCTCGCTCTGTCGCCCAGGCTGGAGTGCAGTGGTGCGATCTTGGCTCACTGCAACTCCGCCTCCTGGGTGCACGCCATTCTCCTGCCTCAGCCTCCCGAGTAGCTGGGACTACAGGTGCCCGCCACCATGCCCAGCTAATTTTTTGTATTTTTAGTAGACACAGGGTTTCACTGTGTTAGCCAGGATGGTCTCGATCTCCTGACCTCATGATCCACCTGCCTCGGCCTCCCAAAGTGCTGGGATTACAGGCGTGAGCCACCATGCCCCGCCTTTTTTTTTTTTTTTTAACAGTCTCGCTCTGTTGCCCAGGCTGGAGTACAGCAGTGGCGTGATCATAGCTCACTGTAGCCTCAAACTCTTGGGCTTAAGCAATCCTCCTGCCTCAGCCTCCTGAGTAACTGGGCACTCAGCCACTCCTGTCACCGTGCCTGGTCAGGATGCATCTTTTAACAACCAAAGGTCTTCTGAGTGTTTCTGTTTGTCGAAAATGTACACAGAAGCTCTAGATGTCATATCAGAAAGTTTAATATGCATAAGTATTTGCATATATCAGAGTTTCTTGGTAGATTTATGCTTTGGAGAAAAAATTATTCACAGTTTACATCTGAGATATTAAGAAAACCTTTGGGTAATAAATCAGTAATTAGCATGTTAATATTTCCTTTGGAGAAAGTGAATACTTTTACTATCTAAGGATTTGTTCAAGCTTGTTTAAGACATTAAATAAATTATTACAAATTTAGCTGTAAACACAAAAATAACAGGATGATAAAGCATTCATTATCTTTAGCAGCAATGCAAATTCTATGCCTAAGTCTGAGTAGCCTCATAATAAAGATCCAAGAGATAAATATGGTACTGGTTTGCAGCACAGTTTTCAAAAATTGATGTGCCAAACATTGAAAAATGAAATCAGTGAGGTAAAAACAAGCATAAAATCAGAGTCACATAAAAGCAGTTTGGTGGAAAAATCTCAAGACTATTTTTTTTTTTTTTTAACTTAGTAGCACAAAGCATCTGATATATTATTAAATAATGACACAATGTGTTTATATCTTAGTACTAAATATGCAGTGCCACCAATTATATCATTTGTATATTATTTTTGTATGACTGAAGAAAGTATTTTATCTTAAAAGAAAAACTCAAGTTCCTAGCCCCAGACTATCAAACTCATTCTTTTATTATCCTAACTGAAAAAGAGTTTCTGGAAGTTCTAATAATAGAAAAAGACTATCGAAATTTATTCTCTCATTTCAGTTTTTTTAAAAAAGAGATATGATTCACTGAACTTTCAAATCATATTCATTTTTAATTTACAAAATGAGAGTCAAGAATTGTATTCAGTGTCACTTTGTACATATAAATTCAACATTAAAAAAAAGTAAACTAAGAAATTTTGAAGCTAGTTTCATCATGAAGACAAGCAGTCCACCTAATAAAATCCTACCACAGTGGAATAAGCATGTCTGCTAAGCATATGGCAAAGAAATCTCTCACAGGTACCTTTTTTATCCGTATTTCTTCGTAGCAGTTTGTCGACCTGAGAAATGGCCTCTTCCCAGCAATTGTTGCTTGCTTGAACGTGGGGCTGAATCAACTTTAATTTCTGTTCTAGGATGGGATAAGCCTCTGACACTAGTTCTTGTGTTTCTTTAGTACAAACAAGCTTTTCAAGTTCATCTTCAAGAATTATTACCCTGAGTCATAAAGAAAAACAGAAACTGATTTCTATAATATGAAATGAAAAATTTATAATTTACAAGGCTTATTTTAAAATAAGCTTAAATCCCAGCACTTTGGGAGGCCAAGGCAGGTGAATGGCTTGAGCTCTGGAGTTCAAAACCAGCTTGGGCAACATAGTGAAACCCCATTTTCGCCAAAAATACAAAAAATTAGCCAGGTGTGGAAGCATGTGCCTAAGGATGAGGTGGGAGGACTGCTTGAGCCTGGGAGGTAGAGGTTGCAGTGAGCCTCGATAGCGTTACTGCACTTCAGCCTGGAGGATGGAGTGAAACCCCACCTCAATTTAAAAAAAAAAAAAAAAAGAAAGAAAGAAAAAAGGCTTATAATAAGATGAAAAAAGTTCTGGAGTTGGACAGTGATATGGCTGCACAACAATGTGTATACACTTAATGCCACTGAACTGTACATTTAAAAATGATTAAATGATAAATTTTGTTATATATACTTTGCCATAGTTTTTTAAAAAGCTTATAAAGAGTATTAAATATTTATTCAACAAATATTTCTTGCATACATACTAGGCATTTTATGGGCTAAAAAGAAAAAAATAAGCTCATCTGCTATTTATAAGAAATAACAAATGATATTACACATATATGTAAGTAAAATATAATATCCACCCCCCACACTCCTCCCTACCCTCACTTCCCCTGCCAACAACAGCTCCCTGGCTGCCCCTCAACTCGGATGTGGCTCGAGCTGGTGACACACAAGACTAGAGACACCACAGACCCACGACCCAGAGCAGCTTGGAGGCAGTGAATAATAACTCTTCAGGTCTGCAATAACAAATGGCCTCTAACAAAACCACGTTGCAAAAAAGGGAAAGAAACAGAATGGAAAAATTAAAAAGTTGAAGAGGCAGAGCCTGATGAATTTGTGGTGGAAAATGTACTAGATCGACATGTAGGGAATGGGAAAGTGGAATATTTCCTGAAGGGATTTACAGATGCTGACAATACTTGGGAACCTGAAGAAAATTTAGATTGTCCAGAGTTAACTGAAGCATTTCTTAATTCTCAAAAAGCTGTGAAGAAAAAGATGGTACAAAAAGAAAATCTTTATCTGACAGTGAATCTGATGAAGCAAATCAAAGAAGAAAAGAGATGCTGTTGACAAACCAAGAGGATTTGCCAGAGGTCTTGATACTGAAAGAATAATTGGAGCCACAGACGGCAGTGAAGAATTGATGTTGCTCATGAAATGGAAGGATTCAGATGAGGCAGACTTGGTGCTGGCACAAAAGGCAAATATGAAGTGTCCTCAAATTGTAACTGCTTTTTACGAAGAAAGACTAACTTGGCATTCTTGTCCATAAGATAAAGCCCAATTATTGTTCACATTGTATGTGTGTGTGTGTATATATGTGTGTGTGTGTGTATAGACACATGTATACATACATACACACACACACACACACACACATATATATAAAATTTGCGGTTGGGCGTGGTGGCTCACATCTGTAATCCCAGCACTTTGGGAGGCCAAGGCTGGTGGATCATCTGAGGTCGGGAGTTCGAGACCAGCCTGGCCAACATGGTGAAACCCCGTCTCTACAAAAATACAAAAATTAGCTGGGCATGGTGGCAGGTGCCTGTAATCCCAGCTACTCAGGAGGCTGAGGCAGGAGAATCGCTTGAACCTGGGAGGCAGAGGTTGAAGTGAGGCGAGATCACACCACTACACTCCAGCCTGGGCAACAGAGTACCAGGCTCTATCTCAAAAAAAAAAAAAAAAAAAAAAAAAAAAAAAGGGTGGAGGGGAGCATCTTGGTTTTTTATTTACTAGTGTGACAAAATAACTACATTCTAATGAAAATCAAGTTTGATATGCTCATTTTGAAAGTAGTGTTGGAAGAGTTGTTGGGTTTTTCTTTTTTGCATCAATAGCACTGGTTACTTTGAATAAATAAAAGCTTTCTGTAGTTGCTTCCTTTATCAGAAAAGAAAAAGACTACAATATCATAAATAATTAGAATATTATTTTATTTCCATTTTACAGATAATAAGGAATTAGGCCCAGAGAGTTGGGGAAACTTGCCTAGAGTCAGAAAGCTGGTAAGATGTAAAACTGGGTTGAATACAGGCACAAAAGGATAATACCACAGAGAGACAGATAGTGTGATGAGAAATCAGAAGAAGGGAAAATTACAACCAACTGTAAGGACAGATGGGGAACAACTAAGGACGAGGTATTTTTGAGGTGGCATCGAAGGGATGGATAAAATTTGGGCCCATATACAAAAGGTGAGGAACGTTGTTCTTTTTATTTTTTATTTTTTTTTGAGACAGGGTCTCACTCTATCACCCAGGCTAGTGCAGTAGTGTGATTTCGGCTCACTGCAACCTCAACCTCCAGGGGTCAGGTGATCCTCCCACCTCAGCCTCCCAAGTAGCTGGGACTACAGGTATGTACCACCACGACTGGCTAATTTTTGTATTTTTTTTGTAGAGATAAGGGTTCACCATGTTGTTCATCTCAGCTACTGGGCTCCAGCAATCTGCTCTACTCGGCCTCCCAAAGTATGAGGATTATAGGCATTAGCCATTGTGCCTGGCCAGAAACTTGTTCTATTAGATTGGTGCAAAAGTAATTGAGGTTTTTGCCGTTACTTTTTTTTTTTTTTGAGACAGAGTCTCGCTCTGTCGCCCAGGCTGGAGTGCAGTGGCACAATCTTGGCTCACTGCAAGCTCCGCTTCTCGGGTTCACACCATTCTCCTGCCTCAGCCTCCCAAGTAGCTGGGACTACAGGTGCCCGCCACCACGCCCAGCTAATTTTTCTGTATTTTTAGTAGAGATGGGGTTTCACCATGTTAGCCAGGATGGTATCAATCTCCTGACCTCGTGATTCGCCCACCTCAGCCTCCCAAAGTGCTGGGATTACAGGCATGAGCCACCTCACCTGGCCTGCCATTACTTTTAATGGCAAAAACTGCAATTACTTTTGCACTAACCTATAAAAGGACCATGGGAAAAGGCATTTATACAGTTTGGCTGGACTGAAGGAAAGGAATGAGAAATAAAGATAGAAACAGAGTGTAGTCAAGTTATGACAAACACTTCTATAGTATGTTTTGTAAAGACTTTAGTCTGAGCTGCTATGACTCCGAAACAAGTCAAGATTTTCAGTGAAGTGAGAAGGCAAATATAAGCCTCAGCAACATTAATCTGGCCATACGCACCCTGAAGGTGGGGAGAACAGTTAGAGATTAACGCTTTAGTGTAGGGAAGGGACAATATGGTCCCACACCGAGGCCCTGAGAGTGGGAACTGCAAAGGAGACAAAGGGGGAGAGGTGTGAAACACAAAAAGAGCATTCTAAAATATGAAACACAAAACAATTATTTAGTTAACAATTTAAAAAGTTGTATGTAGCAGCACTACAGAGCAAATTGGATATGATGGTTTGTGACTGGTGTATTTTCTAGTGAAAATACTTAGAAAGGAGAGACATTAGCATATATGGAATATTCCACTTTAAAACAGGACAAAAACTTCCTATGCATAACCCACAATTCCTACCCATGGTAAAAGCTCCTCTTTTTTGTGTTCATATCTACCTTGTGTAGCACGCTTTCTTCCCTGAGCCATCTTCCCTCACTCTAATGCATTCTAATATGTGCCGTATATTTCTGATTCTATTGCCAAAACTTACTTCTTCAGAGACTCTGGCTTTGCCTATAACCTGTCCACTGAAATCTTATTTTCCTTTGAGGACAATTCAACCTTTGCCACCCACTCAAGTGGAGATGGCCTTATCGCCCAGTTCCCTGTAGGAGGCAGGGCTAAGAAACTGGTTAGCATTTACCTGCTTTCTTAGAATAGCAGATATAGACTACTGGAATACCCTGAGTTCATAGTGTCTTCATTTTTCTTATGCCATAATCTTTTTTTTTTTTTTTTTTTGAGACGGAGTCTCGCTCTGTGGCCCAGGCTGGAGTGCAGTGGCCGGATCTCAGCTCACTGCAAGCTCCACCTCCTGGGTTTACGCCATTCTCCTGCCTCAGCCTCCTGAGTAGCTGGGACTACAGGCACCCGCCACCTCGCCCGGCTAGTTTTTTGTATTTTTTTTAGTAGAGACAGGGTTTCACCATGTTAGCCAGGATGGTCTCGATCTCCTGACCTCGTGATCTGCCCGTCTCGGCTTCCCAAAGTGCTGGGATTACAGGCTTGAGCCACCGCGCCCGGCCATGCCATAATCTTTATATCAGCCTTATATCAAGCCCATCTCAGGCCTTGAACTGATGGGTAAAAACTTAGCTTCTCAAAATGTCTTTCTGACTTTAAGTTCCTATCCTTGTATCTCTTATCCTCCCTAATTCCAGTGAAACTAGCCTTTTGATTTTGCTGATATGTCAGTCCTTTTGACCCATTTTTATTTACATAATTAAATGCTGCCTTCCCCATTCCACTTCTTGCCATGTATCCCAGGGTCAAGTACACCAACTACAATCTTGTTAGCTCTTTAAATTCCTAGGACCTTCTTGATTACCAACACAACATGAACTCAACCATTCATTTGATCCAGTCCTACATGATGAATATTTAACCGTTACAGAAAAATTTCACTGGAAATGACTGTATTCAATTAAATGCCTTGATTCAATTTTTAAACTTGAAAACTTCGTAGAAATATGTGAAAATAGTATTTTCAGCTGAAGGTATACCGAAGTGGGACATAAAAATTTAGAAATTAACGTAGAGTACCAACAATTTCATGCAAGGCAGGAAATGAACAAATATAAACTCTAGACTCTACATTTTGCTTTTCAACTGGTACCACAAAGCTTGTCCTGTGATACAAAAAAATTTCTACATCTGCTGTAATTTATTTAGAAAAACAGCAATATGTTACTCTTCTACTACATATAACAATGCCTCTTGTAACACACAGTTCCAATCTTGGTAGATATTTCTATTGGACTGCAGGTTCCAGTTGAAGAGCACTACCTTAAGAGAGTTAAAAGAAACGCATTCTTTATAACCATCTCCATTTCAGCTCTCAAAGAGAATGAACAACACCTGCTTTTACCTACCTTTCCAAGTTTTCTGCTGAACTAAGGAAAAGTAAAAACTGTAACTCCCTCAAGTTATAGTACTCACAAATTATTATTATTATTATTTTTGCTATATTTGTAGCTATAAATCACCCTTCATGCTCATGTCTCAACTTTGCTTCTTTTTTCTAGCTAGGACACAAGCCAACAACCACAATGGTACACGAATGAAGCTTGCTAATCACCGAGACCTTTCTTGGTATAATTTCTAAACTTACTCATTCAGTAATGCTTTCAGATGGAGCTGCAAGCTACGTACTGCTGTGTGAACATTATTCAGTTCTCCTGACTTCTGTTGAGTTTTGGATAAACACTGTGGTACTGACTGGTGCTGAGTTTCAAAGTACCGATAGAACTCATAGCTGCGCTTAAGCTCTTCCAAACAGGCAGAATGAGCGTGAGGTAGACCTTGAGTCACATCAGATAAGATACGATGAGGCAGAAGTACTGGAGTAAGTAAGGGCCCAGGAGGTGAATTGGCTGTAGAAAGTAATAGGGCTAACCGTCTGAAGAACTCTGAACTCTGTGCCACCCAGAGTTGGAACAAAACCTAAAGAAAAAAGAAAAAAGGACTAGATCAATAACAAATATTGGTCAGTGTTCAAAGCAAACTATAAATTTGTTTATCTTAACTTCTGGTTTAAATTTTGCACTTTATCCTAAATAATAAATATAACTGAGCTTAAACTACCTTAAGATAAGCCAAGAATATGATTTCAAATTATGTATGTGGGAACCTGTTATTCCAATAGAGCAGGTAACATCAATATATAATTTACTACAGTTCTGTCCTAGATGGGAAGTGTTGATGGAATGAGATACTTTAGCAAAAGTGAATCTTCACTCATTATTTAAAAAAAATTTTCACACAGAAAAGAAGACAGTAGGACTAGTGGATATATATATACTTCTCCAAAGAAATGAGTCACATGGATCAAAAGCTTGGGTTTCAAAATAAGACTATTACCTTGCCCTATGAATTAACTAAGAAATTAACATAAAAATCAGTCCAGGGCTAGGCGCAGTGGCTCACGTCAGTAATCTCAGCACTTTCGGAGGTGGAGGCGGGGAGATCACTTGAGGTCAGGAGTTTGAGACCAGCCTGGCCAACATGGTGAAACCTCATCTCTACTAAAAATATAAAATTCAGCCAGACATAGTCGTGGTGGTGTGTGTTTGCAATCTCAGCTACTTGGGAGGCTGAGGCAGGAAAATCATTTGAACTTGGGAGGCGGACGTTACAGTGAGCTAAGATGGTGCCACTGCACTCCAGCCTGGGTGACACAGCAAGACTCTATCCAAAAAAAAAAAAAAAAATCCATTAAATACTCCAGGAATGTCTGACATGAGAAATTGCAAAACCTATTCTTTTAATTAATTAATTAATTAATTTTTGCCATAGAGTCTTGCTCTGTTGCCCAGGCTAGAGTCCCCAATGGCATGATCATAGCTTACAGAAATCTCTAACTCCTGGGCTCAAGTGATCCTCCTGCCTCAGCCTCCTGAGTAGCTAGAAACACAGGCATGTACCACCGTACTCAGCTAATATTTAAGTTTTAGAGATGGGGTCTCAGTATGTTGCCAGGATAAATCCCATTCTTCTTCTTCTTCTTCTTCTTTTTTTTCTAAAAGCAGTCTGAATATGTTCATAGGCCCATTCCTGAGATACATCCTGAATCCTTGCAGCAAAACATTTCTCCAGATACAGTCGTATTCAAGATGAGGACAATATCTCCGAAACAAATGCATGAGGAAACAATGTAGTATGAAACAAGAGGTAGCAGGCAATAAAAAGAGGATGAAACCACTTTTGGTAATTTAGATTTCAATTATTCACAACCATGAAAATAGACATTATTTAGATGGTTTTATTAAATGAATTTTAAAATTATGTCAATAATGAATTAAGGTAATTTCACGTAAATCTACTTTACCATTAACTTGTTTTATTTTATTTTTTTAAAGTGAGCAAGGCCAGATTTCCTAGTTGCTACAGGCGCGATATCTAGGGATTCTTGACTTACAAGTTTACTTGCAAGTCTTCTTATTCAAGTATTAAATTTTATAATTACAATGATTTTTATTATTTTATTTGTTCATTCAGAAATGATTTCTTGAGCACCCACAAGGTGCCAGGCACTGTTCTAGGTGCACATAAACAGCAGAGAGCAAAAATGAAAAGAGTCTCTACTCCGATGAAGCTTATATTCAAGTAGAGGGGCACAGATAATAATCTACAAGTAAAAGATACTATTTCCCTTTTGCTATAATGATTGTCCAGGAAGAAAAAGATAGTGTTTCTTGGTTGATGGGAAAAATACAGCAAAGAAGGGGAATAGTGTATGTGTGTGTGTGTATGTGTGTGTATGTGTGTGTACACATATGAAAGAGGTGGAGAGAGACAGAAAGCAGGAAGGAGAGAGGAAAAGGGGGTGGCTGGGGAGGTCTCTAAAAGTGTCACCTAAAGGAAGTGAGCCATGAGATCATCATCAAGGAAGAGAGTTCTAGGGAGCAGGAAGTCAAGTGCAAAGTACTGTTGTGGGAGCACACAGGGCAGATCATGGAACAACAAGAAGTTCAGTATGGCTGGGGCCAGGTAAGCAATGGGGAGCCACTGAAGGGTTCTGAGCAGAAGCGTGACATAATCTGATTTATGCATTAACAGGCCTATACTGGCTGCTGAGTTGAGAGATTACAGGAAAATGAGAGTAGAAGCAGAGAAACCAGTAAGGAAGTTACTGCAATACTCCAGGTTAGCATTAATGAGACCACAGTGGTCAGCGGTGGAAGGTGAGCAGCAGATGGACTCTGGATCCATTGTGAAAGTAGAACCAACACAGTCTCTTGACTGATTGGTACTGAGAGAATAAGAGCTAACAAGGATGATTCCAGCATGCTGGGTCAAGATAACTGCAAGAATCAAGTTGGGACAGCTTACTGTGGCTTTTAAAAAGACTAAAGGCCAGGAGCAGTGGCTCCCACCTGTAATCCCAGCACTTTGGGAGGCTAAGGTGGGAGGATTGCTTGAGGCTAGTAGTTGGGAGACCAGCCTGGGAAACATAGTGAGACCCTTGTCTCTACAAAATATTTTCTTAAAAATTAGCCAGGCATGGTGGCATGTAACTGATGTCCCAGTTACTTGGGAGGCTAAGGTGGGAGGATAGCTTGAGCCCAGGAGTTCAGGGTTACAGTGAGGCACGATTGCACCACTGCGCACCAACTGCATGACTGAGCAAGACCTTGTCTCTAAAGACTAATTTATTATCCAACCACTGTCACATTATCCATTTAAACCAGAACTCAGAAATATGTATTTCTTTTTTCCTTGGATAAGGAGATAACCATAGCCAATAGGTAAACAGAAAATTTGATTTAAAGCATTTCACAATGTGTACATTTATTTTTCTAGAGCAGGAAACATATGACTTTATAAATTTAAAAAACTAGTTAAAAACTTAAAGGAAAAGAGAGGGATAAGGACTCCGTTCTAGGGACTGATTGAGTATCCCTAATCCAAAAATTTGAAATGAAATCCCAGATGCTCCAAAATTTGAAACTTTTTGAACACCAACATGGCAGTTAAAGGAAATGCTCACTGGAACATTTCAAATTTCAAATTTTCGGATTAGGGATGCTCAACCTCAATGTGTAATGCAAATATTCCAAAATCTGAAAAAAATTCAAAATCCAAAATACTTCTAGTCTCAAGCATTTTGGATAAGAAATATTTAACCTGTATTTCATTTATGTCTCCTCAGGCTACAATTCAGAGGTTGCTTTTCTTTCCAAAGGTGCAATACTTGCTATCACTAAACTTTCCTGAGGGAAGATATGTTAACAATAAAAAACAAATCCAAAATGTATTTTCTTTAGAGGGGGCAACGCACTTTTAAAAATTTAACTTACAAAATCTATTTTTAAATTTCTTATCTGAATAACGATACAGTGGCAACTACAGAAGGGGACAATACACAGTTTTTGAACATTACAGGGGTTTTCAACAGTTTGCAAAGTCTATAGAGCTCCTCAAGATAAGGCTCCTTGCAGAGCCTGATAAATGCGGTAACTGTAACACAATTATTGAGTTTGGTTACAGGTTAGTTATAGGTAAAAATAAAAGAAATATAAAAATACTATTATACTTTGATTTGTAAAACACTGAGTGAGCAAAAAGAATCCAGCTATAATCATTGTTGGAAGGCAGGATGGGGATACAGCAACAGAGATCAAGTCTCACATTTCAGAGCAGGTCATATCAGATAGAATTTTAAAAATCAGCTAACATTTATTAATTGCTTACTCTACACCAGGCACTGAACTGACAAACATCTAATCCTTTGGAGGCAAGCATTGCAATTATCCCATTTTAATAAACACAGAAACAATGATTTGCTCGGGACCACACAGTAGTCAAATAATGGAGCTAGAGTGAAACCTGGAAAATCTGACTCCACGGTGTCCACAACTTCTCTTTGCTGCCTGTACTTAAGCTAGAGTACGATTCAGGATTTAATACACTTTTAAAAACAGTACATCAAAAGCATAAAGAAAAAAATCTCCAAGGCATCTTGATGAGTTAACAAAAAGTAATTTAAAAGGAAATGAAATACTATAATTCTTTCTCCAAGTCCTTCTTAAAGAATAACAGCTATTACCATTTGGGGGTACCCGTTATATGACAAGCCCTGTTTGAGGTATTTAATATTCTTCTCATTTAATCTAACACCTTATAAGGCAGGGATGGCAACTCCTTTTCACAGGTGACGTAAGTTTAAAGAATAACTTATTCAAAGGCAAATGGCTAGTCAGTCAGGGCTAAAATATAAACCTAGGTCTGCTCAATTTTCCACATTAAGAATCTCTTAAATTGTCCTTTGAAAAAATATTTATTTTCCTTAAAGAACAAAGCATGGTTAGGATATTAAATTTGAAAGGGGGTGAAATTACCTACAGTCCCACCACCCCAAAGAGTAGCTATATATATCTTGGTATTTTCTCCTCATTTTTTTTTTAAACAGGGTTGTGGCCATATTGCATATACACTTATGTATCCTGATTGTTTCACTGCCAACAGATGTTTCTCCAAGTTTTTACAGAATTTTCACGAGCAAGCTGTAGCTGCTACACAATGGTTCACCATGTGGCTCTGGCATGACTCACGCAGCCACTCCTCTATTTTTGAACTTTCAGGCAGTGTTCCATTGTGCACTATTATAAACACAAAGTGAATAAGCAACTTGGTATATAAAGCTTGACTATGTTTAGAATAATTTCCTGCAGTTTGCAGAAGAGGAACTACAAATTCAAAGGATAAACCATTTAAAAGGCTCTTTACATGTCAAGTTGCATTCTGAAACAAATAACTTTAGAGAACTGAGGAAAGTACTGCAGCAGCCTAAGTAAAAAATGGTGGCTGGGACTAGGATGGTGGGGCTGCGGGGTTGGATATAGAAAAAAGTGGATGGGTTTAAAATACATTTTCAAGGTATAAGTAAGAATCTGCTAACAGACTGGATGTGAGTGGGCAAAAAGAGGGACAAGAAAGATGGTGTCCAGGTTTCTAGTTTAAGTTTTGAGGTGCCATTTATTGAGATAGGTTAAAATGGGAGTAAGAATAGGTCAAAGCAAATTTTAAGCAGGAGAGAAAGAAAACAAACAAGGTAATTAGAACATTTATGTTGATTTAGAAAATGTAAAAGATATGGAAGTCAATACAGTCTCAAAACAAAATGGATCTGATAAATGCTAACAATACTTGCACTAATTTTCATGGTATCAAGGGAAATTTTAAAAACTAAAAACAAAGAAACATCTAAAGAGAGTTTACTAAACACTTAATAGGAACTTAAGACATTTGGATCAATGTCTTAAAAATACTACTGGAGGCTGGGTGAGGTAGCTCATGCCTGTTATCCCAGCACTTTGGGAGGCTGATGTGGGCAAATCGTTTGAGCTCAGGAGTTTGAGACCAGCCTGGGCAACATGGCGAAACCCTGTCTCTACAAAAAATACAAAAATTAGTTAGGTGTGGTGGTGTGTACCTGTAGTTCCAGCTACTCGGGAGGCTGAGGTAAGAGGATCACTGAGCCTGGGGAGGTTGAGGCTGCAGTGAGCTGTGACTAAGTCATACTGTACTCCAGCCTGGGTGACAGAGTGAGACTCTGACTCAAAACAAAAACAAAAAAATTTGTTTCCAATGTTGGCTGCTATAGTAATGTCATGAACATACTTTGGGTATATCTTTGGTTACTTTCTGAGATAAATCTGTAAGGGCAAATTAAAATTGCTAGAATAAAGCAATTTTGCTTCTTATACCTGTATGAAGATTGGTATTCAATGCTAAAGTGAACCAGTTTATACTTTCACCACTGGTCTGTGTGAGGTCTCCCTGAATCTTCAATGATAATGAAATTACCAACTTTCAATATCCTTGGCAAAATGGTCAGCTTATTATTTTTATTTGTGTTCTTTCATTACTAAAATGAAAAATTTGTATCATATTTATTGGCCATTTGTATTTCTTCTTTTCTTGTTTTTTCTTTTTAGGCTAGTCAAATGAAGTAGCGGGAGTAAGGAAGGAACAAAGAAATCTGTAACTGGTCGTGATCAATTCGTTGTAAAATACAACCTTACTGGGACTAGCCTGTGTTTCTTTTTTTGTGAACTGTCAGTTCAGCCAAATGTACCCTTTAATGTGGCTTTTAATGTATGAAAACAAATCTTAAGAATTTTGGAGATAACACATTATCCATGTTTGTTGAAACAAATGGCTAGTTATAAAATCACTCATATTGGCCTCCAATTAAAGTAAATTCACTTATCTCCAAACTCTAATTTAAGGCATTTCTTTAAGCATTTTAAGTATTTGGAGATCAAAATCTAAGGATCTCCTCTTCCAATCCATAATAAAGATTATACTCTCGGCACTTAAAGACAGTGTTACAAACATCACCAGTGCATTTATGATGATGGTGTGCAGCAAACAATGAGGGGAACAGGCGCACCATTTACATTCAGAAAGCATAGACACAATCCAAGTGCATCTATCTTTTCTTCAGCCCTTCCCTTCCACAGATGGATTACCTTCAATGCAGGCAGGCTGAAGCCATCTGTAAAGTTATGTGCTTCCTCTTCTGAAATCTGCTCTTCACTAAGTCCAAGGCCCAGCTCCTTAAAAGGCACCACACAGATGTAGTTGGTTACATTGTCACTCTCAGAGTTCAGGGGGTAGGTTAAATTAGGTTAAGGCAATCAACAAAGCCTTTTCATGAAAGCATAAAAGATACAGTGAAATTGTCCTACATCACATTTACTAATCTTTATTCTGAACTTTTGGGTGAGGAGATTTACAACAGTTTTTAAACAAAAATTATTTTTAAATATCTAATATATTAACATAATACCTCAGATATCTTGGATACTTGTGGATACAATTTTTAATGTCTAAAAAATTAAAAGTTCAACTCTTCAAAAGGGTTACAGTGATGTTATTTATTCATTTTTTTGAGACGGAGTCTTGCTTTGTCACCCAGACTGGAGTGCAGTGGCACCAGCTTGGCTCACTGCCACCTTAGCCTTTCAGGTTCAAGCAATTCTCCTACCTCAGCCTCTCAAGTAGCTGGGATTACAGGCATGCACCACCACACCCAGCTGATTTTTGCATTTTTTTCTAGGGACGGTGTTTTGCCATGTTGTCCAGGCTGGTCTCGAACTCCTGGCCTCAAGTGATCTCCCCGCCTCAGCCTCCCAAAGTGCTGGGATTACAGGTGTGAGTCACTGCGCCCAGCCCCGTTATTTTTGACACCTACCATTTGAAGCTGTATTGGGCACTTTATTGTGTCATGGTTCAGGGTCCTCACTATGCTACAGTAAATACCCTTTTCCTCTCAGTCTGCATACTGCAGGACATTATTAGTTGAACGTTATCTGAAATACACAGACTGATATAAGTGGCACCAGGCCTGTCCTATGTAGCTTGTTTGACAAAGATTACTGTTAGATTTCCTCTGCCCTCATCCTTACAGACACATCAAAATCAATAATGATTTTCCCTTTAATTGTTTCTCTAAATAATTACATCCATATAATAATTGATCGTGAACCATTTTTGTATTTCTAGTATATTCCTATTTGGCTATATTATAATAATCTTTTGATACAATCCAATATTAAATTTATAAATATTCCATTTAAAAATTTTGTATCTCCATTTATGAGACTGGCCTATATTCTTTGTAATAAAACTGGTTTTTATTCTTTGTAATACAACATGTTTTGGTATTGAGATATTTTCATAAATAAAATGATACAGGGAAACTTTCTAACCTTTCCTATAGTCTGAAATTTTTTTTAAACTACAAAACCGTCTGGATCTGGTAGTTAAAAAATTTTAAATTCACTTTGCTTTTGAATAGGTAATATATTCACAGGATTCAAAATTCATGAGGTATTAAGGGATATAGCAAAAACTACTTTCCACCTCTATGCCTTAGCCATGTAGTTCCACTATCCAAATGCAAAGGCAATTCCTTTTACCAGTACCTTCCAAGATTTTTTATGTATACATACATAAAAGCAAATTCAAATATAAATGTGTTTCTGGAGATATGTAGGTATATACGCATGCATGTACACAAACACATACATACATATTTATCCCTGTAGAAACACACAGTCCCTTTTATGCACAAACTGAAGGATACGATAAATACCGATCCCTGCACTTTCTGATTTTTTTTCACTTAATATAACTTGGAGATCCACAGTAGAGCACTAAGAACTCTATCATTGTTTTTTAAAAATAGTTTCATATTTTCCATTGTCTACATATAAACCAGGTGTTTTCTTTTTAAAATTGAGTATTCTTTATCCCATGTCCAATCTCTTCAAGTTTTAAAATTCTTCCTAGGTCAACTTTGCAGATTTTTATTTTGATAAGAAATGAGCCTGGGCTCAGTGGCTCATGCCTATAATCCCAGCAATGTGGGATCCCTTGAGCCCAGGTGTTCGAGACCAACCTGGGCAAAATGGTGAAACCCTGTCTCTAAAAAATGCAGAAAAACTAACCAGGTTTGGTAGCATGTGCCTTGGTCCCAGCTACTCGGAAGGCTAAGGCAGGAGGATCGCATGAGAATGAGACTACAGTGAGCCGTGATCATGCCACTACACTCTAGTCTGGGTGACAGAGTGAGACACTATCTCAAAAGAAATGAAAAGAACCATTTTCTCCTACATGTTTAAAGTTGTTGCTGTGGAGCTGCATATATAACATCCCCTCTTCCAGTTATTTTAATGTCTACTATATCCATGGTTACCACTGTGTTCTCATTACTAATCTTGTATATTTCAGCTCTTTACTTTGATCAGGCAAACAAGGGTTTACATATCTTACTGGTCTTCTTAAAATGATTGGTGGATTCTTTTTTAGTTAAATTTATTAAGGTTTCTTATATGGAGAATATGATCTGGCCCCTGGCTACCTCTGAGTTTCATTTCATACTCTAACCTCCAACTTCCTGTGCTCAACTCATGATGGTCTTCTTTCTATACTCCAATCATGCTAAATTCATTCCTGCCAGAAGATCTTTCTACTCACTGGTCCATCTAACTGGCATACTCTTCCTCCAGATCTTTCCATTATGCAAACCTCAGTTTAAATGCCAGCTCCTCAAAAAGGCCTTCTCTTACCATCTAATAAAAAGGAGCACCCCACCAATCATTCTCTACCCTATTCCGTTTCTTTTTCTTCATAATAACTGTTTTATCTGAAGAATCCCATCTGTCCATTTATTATTTTAGTTTAGTTTATTTGAGACAGGCTCTCACTCTGTTGCCCAGGCTGGAGTGCAGTGGCACAAACACAGCTCACTGCAGCCTTGACCTTTTGGGCTCAAGGAATCCTGCTGTCTCAGCCTCCCAAATAGCTGGGACTGCAGGTGTGTGCCACCATGCAGCTAATTTAAAACAATTTTTTTTTTTTTTTTTTTTTTTTTTTTTTTTTTTTAGAGACAGGGTCTCACTATATCGCTCAGGCTGGTCTCAAATTCCTGGGCTCAAACAATCCTCCTACCTCAGCCTCCGAAACTGCTGGGGTTACTGGCATGAGCCACCACACCAAGTCCATCTTTTATTGATTATTTCATCTACTAGAAGGTAAGCTCCACGAGAATAAGGATCTTGTCTATCTTGTTCACTGCTAGGTCCCCAGTTTCTAGAAAAATGACTGGCACAAAGAACTCATATAATCTGTAGTCTTTGATAGGCTAACCCTATCACTCCCTAACCCACACTGAACTACAAACTCCATAAGGCAGGGATCATGTCTATTATGTTTACCACTGTACGTCTAGTGATGAGCATATTGTGCGGCAGTCTGTGCTCAAAAAATACTGACTGAATGACCAACAGTTCACATGCCACACTGTCATATCTCTATTTCTTTCCATGTGTTTTTGCTTCCTTCTACCTGGAATGCAGACTCTTACCCTCATGGCCAACTTCTATTCATTCTCTGAAGCTCAACTTAGATGTCACCTCCCTGAAAGCCTTCTCTGACCCCATAAACTGAGTATGTTGCCCTGCTATGTTGGAAGGCACCCATGGCACTTATATCAAATTATGAATACTGATTTCTCTATTGATCACATTCAAAAGTCTTTAGAAGTAGGTAGTACATATTTTTACTCAGTTTTCCTAGCACTTGGAAGAATGGTTGACCTATAGCAGGCCAGTATTTAGGCAATGGGGGAATAAAATGGACAAGTTCTTGATAAAAATTAAAATGCTTTTTCTCCATTTCATTTATATCTAGATATATCAGTTTTGATCTATAAGATATATATATCTGGATATATCAATTTTGTCCATATAAGATATATATCTTATATGGATATATATCTAGAGATAAATATGAAATTTCCATATAGAGAGAGAAAGAGAAAAATGGTTTCAAGTCATAAGTTCTACAGTCAAGACACAACTTCATCTGTTAGTAGTTCTATGATACTGCACAAGTCACTTAACTTCTATTTTAGTTTTCTCATAAAATGGAGACAAGAAAATCTAGCTATAAAGGTTTGTATAAGGACATGATAGAACATAAAGCACCCTGTAAAGTTTGAGTATTATATTTATCAGTGCTATAATACCCAGCATCCTGAAGTGGCAAAGTTGTCTTTTTGCCTTCTATTTAGTCAGGATTTAACTTATCTATATGTCTTTACTAAAATAAAGCTCTTATATACCTTTTTTTTTCTGGCTATTAGAACTAATTTCCTATTTTAATAAATTTAAGTGACAGACTTTATTGTCATACAGTCTTTGGGTGCTTACTATATGCTAGATGATGTCTGATCACTTTACATGCATTAACTCATTTGATCCTAACAAATATCCAGTAAGGAAGATGATGTTATTATTGCCATTTTAAACATGACTAAAGCAAGGTACAGAGAGGTTAAGAAACTTGTTTAAGGTCACTTAGGGAGTAACTGATACAGTCAGTGTTTGAACTTAGCCATTCTTCTCCTAGAACCTGCTTTTTTGAAAAGGGAAGGATTTTCAGCTGCCAGTTTATTAACATGCCATGATGCAAATCTGCCATGTTGAGAAATTTGTTTAAAATATCAGATCTAGCAAAGCCAGGCTCTTCTGACTTCATTCTTTGGATGAGTAAAGGAAGAGACTTCAAGTTTTTTCCTTGTTTAAAAAGCAGCCACACAAGAACAGAACTTTCTTCCTGTCTGTTATTGTCATTCCCCCAGGAATGCATTTCCAGTTTTAACATAGAAGTAATGATAGACATTAGTTTCAAAATAGGCAACCTCAGTTTACAGTAAACATTCAGAAGATACAACTATAATATCTGTATTCAGGACTCCAGAAACATTGCTTAGTTTCATATGTAAACAGAAAAGGATATTTTTTCAGCATATATAGGGTAGCTAGCCTTGCTGCTTGGAAGTTGGCTCTTAGAGTTCGGTAGACAGCTTTCCGAAGACCGATGAGATGCTGACTTGGATGCTGTCCAGCTTTATTAAATGGGCAAGCAGCACTGACCCTGTCAAGCAAACTTGAAAAGTAAAATGTGATACAACTGTACAGGTGTCCTAAAGTTTTTGTTTCCTAAATCCACAATTCTATTAAATGTAGAAGACAAATTCCTCTATCATTATCTTTACTAGAAAATGATTATAAGTATGTCAACTCAGGTCTCATAAAATAGTCATTTCTGTGAATATATATATGCATACATACAGACAGCCACTTAAAAAAAAGACAAAAAATTAAAATCTCAAAGAGTAAAGGCTTCCTCTGATGTGGGGAAACAATGGATTTTGGCTGAGATATAACAGAAATGTAGAAATATCAAGAATTCACATCTTTTTTACATAGACACTATGCTTGCTAAAATATATTGGAGAAAAGCTACTTTATATTCAGTTTTCAAAACCTATATCCGTAGGAAGTATGAAGACCTTAATTATAAACACTTTCAAATTATTAATATACATTTACATATGTTCATTACATTTGTTCACTGATCATATTTTGGTCACTTGTACAGAAAAAATACTATATAGAAATGCTTTCTGTACATTCATAAAAGTAGGGTAAAATTACTTACCCACCTGCTGCCACTGGCACTTACCTACTCAAAATGAAGTAGGGAACGTGGAAAGATAACAGGACCAGTGGCCAACAGGGGAATGCAAGTAGAAAGGCAAAGTAAGGGTTACTACATAGTAGCATAGCTACTCTCAAAGCTGTTCAAGAGGAAGCACATTTCATGGCACTTCCCATAAGATTAATGGGAAGTACCTAATTTGTAACAATGACATACAATATATTACATTTCATAACTTACAGTATGCATGAGTAAATACCTGGTTATCAGATAAATTTTTTCACCTAACCAGTAATCTTTCCCAACAGTAAAACAAAATATTGGCATTTGTAAATTCCTTATTCTATAACCACAAAGCTATAAAACAAGACACCTAATTCAAAACTTTAAAAATGTTAAACCATACTAAAATGTATTCAGGTATTAAAAATCTATAAAAAGCAAATTTTTAAAAATCTATAAAAAGCAGAGGATGATGACTGACAGGCTTATGTTAAGATAAGGGAATGAAGGCAAAAAAGGTTTCAATTATTTGTGAGAGAGGACAATTTGAGGCAGAAACAAAACAGCATTCATGATTTCAATATATGGCACTACTGCTTGTGCTCCATTATACTAAATCAGTTTTAAAAACTGTCTAATTTTGAAAATGTCTAAAAAATTATGATTCAAGATTTATTATTCCTCATTTTCCAACCCATTATCCAGACAAAGGAAGCACAATTTCTTCCAATACTACTTCTCCCCGTCTGTCATCTGAATGGGTAGAAGTCATAATCTGGAGGTAATTCAAGTCGAACTGGCCCACTTTACCTCTTCATGCAAATTCCATGGGGACAGATAAAGTTGGAAAATGACACAAGGCATAGAATCCTCTATATACGCCTAACCATTAGTTGAACACAAAGCCACTTTGTTTAACCAGTCATTCCTCTCAATAAAATACAAAGGAACTATTACGTATTTTAAGCGTGATTTTTAAAAACTTTTTAAAAATTTGACACTCAAACAACTTAAAAATGTGCTATCCTTTAAGTCAATAAGAAGCAGACTTCAACTAATGGAAGGACAAAAATCAGTAGATGCTAAGGACCTTTATGCTTTTTTTCTTTTTTTTTTTTTGAGACCAAGTCTGTTGCCCAGCCTAGACAGAATCTGTTGTCTCCAGTTCTGTTGCCCAAGCTGGAATGCAGTGGCATAATCTTGGCTCACTACAGCCTCAACCTCCTGGGGTTGAAGTGATCCTCACGCCTCAGCCTCCTGAGTAACTGGGATTACAGGTGTGTGCCACCACATCTGGCTAATTTTTTATTATTTGTAGAGATGGGGTCTTGCTAGATTGCCTAGGGTAGTCTTGAACTCCTGGGCTCAAGTGATCCTCATGCCTCGACCTCCCAAAGTGCTGGGATTATAGGTGTGAGACATCACGCCTGACTGACTTTTATACTTTGAGAAGAAAGAGAAATTATAAAATCAGTCTTATGTCTTGGGATTGTGTGTAGAACACAAGAAAGTAAACAACAAGATAACTACTGGGATTCTTCCATTTCTCTGTTCCATGATTTTCTAGAAACAGTGAAAACTGTGTAGTGTTCTAGAGCAGAACAGAGTGAAGGATGCGATGGCTACCAGAGGTTCTTCACTCCCTCTTTTCATGATTTTCTAGATACAACTAATTAAGAGCCATGAATGTTCCTCACCATATGCTTACTTTCTCCCACCTATAGATTGCTAAAGTTATATAGGTTATATAAATTGTTAAATATACTAGCACACAACTGTCATCTGTTAGTGTTTGGCAGGTGTCCAGTGTACTGTAAGCTGGGTTTAGAATCAGATAGAAAGGATATGAATATTTACCATTTATCATTCTATGCCTTCAGTTGTATGCAAAAGTGACTAGCATAGTATATGGAATATACTTGGTGCTCAATAAATGTAACCTTCCCTCTAATAATAGACTAAGCAGCCAGTATATCCTATAGCTTAATATACTTACAGCTAGATTGGTGAATATTTAATTTCTTGTGAGAATGGAAAACATCATTATTTGCATGATACTCTGAGAGTTTCGGTGCTATAATATCTGCTAATATTTATCTAAACAGTTATTAGCACAAGTCAAGAGTTTTCAAAATGCATTTATAGCAGATATGTCTATCATAAAGAAGGCATTTGAAACAGAGTAATGGGAGCAAGCATTTACTGGGTAACTACTGCATGTTAGGTTCAGTATTAGACACTCTCTATATATTATCTCATATAATCATATGGTAACATACAGAAATAATCAGGATCTCCAAAGTACTTTAGTTCCTCAAAGCAGATAAGCAGAATCATACTAGATAGTAAATCTAGCACATAATGTATTTATTCCTTCACTTAGCAATTAATTGACTTTAGTAAGTACTAAAAAGAAAAGCACTTTTTTCCTATAAAGGTAACATAGAAATGAAAATAGGTAATAAATATTCTCCTTTACGGAGTAGAAAATAATCATTTAAGAAACAAAATGAAAAATGAACTCACAGTGTAAATCCTCTGGAAATCACTTCGGTTTCTTGAATGAGACGTAAAGCTTTTCTCACAAGGTTAGTAAAAGCTCGGCTGTTTGTGGCCATATCTTCCAAATGAATACTGTATTTTTTTAGGGTCACTTGTAGTTTGGCTGTCCTCCATAATCTCAAAGCTCTTATGACCAGATACACAAATAGAATAACTCCCCATACCAGCCAGGAAGACACAATCCACCAAGTAGGAAGCATAATGAGCAAGCTAATGAAGGCAAATAGCATTGAGAGATCCCTGGGAACAAGAAAGGAAGAAAATGATATGCATCAGATTAGAGAAAGAAAAATAAGTTACTTTAATCAGTTAAAACAAAATTTAAATTTAGGTTTACTAAACAAATAAAATGCTAGTTTCTTTGTAACACATAACTTCAAAAAATATGACATTTAAGAAGGTGATGTGAAAGATTTTCAAAATACCTCGCAACTAGATAATAGTGCTTAGGTATTAACATCCGAACTGATAAGTTTAGGTAAGAAAACAGGTGTCTTCTGGAATCACATAAAGCTGATTTCACAAAAGAAACTCAAAATTATCTGTAGGTGGTGACTGAATGCTGGGCAGAACCAACAAAAGGCCTCTACACTTCCTACATATACAGAGTCTGGAGCTAGAAATACCACCTGTTGCCTGCAGGATAAAATCAAACTTCATTAGCTCAGTCTACAAAATCCTTCAGAAGTTGGCCCAGGTCATGTCTTGAGTCAGATCAGCATCCCAGCCCTCAACTCCAAGCATTGTAAACCAGAAAATCTCTTCATTCTCTTTCCTTTTTGCCTGGTGTCATCTTATATTTAATACCACAATCCTATTCGTTCAAACCTTCCTCTGACACCAAGTCCTCTGTGAAGATTTTACCAAAAGTTTGAAACAGTTACTTTTAATTTCAGCCAACCCCTCTTCTGTGACCCCAAAGAAATTGCTACATTTCTCTTTATGACATTAACAAAAATGATAATAAATATAACAATAGGCATCTTCTGAAACCACTTTTTAAAAAATATAAGATATGGAATCCTTAACCTAAAAAGCAAATTAGAGATTTTAAAATCCAATTTTATAGATTTAAAAGTAAAAATACTATTTCAGAGATATTATAAATCCCTTTTCCTAAAATCAAACTTTATTTGCATAGAAACACATACTATATCAAGAATATGTACACATTTTTCCAATTAGAAATGATACACACTTGATGAGTAATTGTTTGAATAAAGTCCTCTAATTTTAAATAATCATCATCATTAATTTGGAATATACATACTTACCACAGACCATGATATGGACAAGGTTTGTACTTTTATACCGCTTTAATTGAAATAAAAATATGCACACATTTTTAAATTCGTATCAATTACAAGTCTAACAGAATAAAATACATCTTTAAAGCAATGAATGCTTTGGTGAAAATGTGTGTATATAAGAAAGAGGGGGCCAGGCACAGTGGTTCATGCCTGTAATCTCAGCACTTTGAGAGGCACAGGTGGGAGGACCACTTGAGCCCAGGAGTTCAAGACCAGCCTGGGCAACACAGTGGGACCCCTTCTCTACAAAAAATTAAAAAATTAGCTGGGTGTGGTGGCATGTACCTGTAGTCCCAGCTATACAGGAGGCTGAGGCGGAAGGATCACTTGAGCAGGCTGCAGCAAGCCGAGATCACGCCACTGCACTCCAGCCTGGGTGACAAAGCAGGACCTTGTCTCACAAAAAAAAAAAAAAAAAAAAAAAAAAAAAGAAAAGAAAGAGGGGAGTATAAGAGGGATGTGTCTGAGAATATCTGAAAAACATCAGCAATATTTGAAAAGAGTTATAATCATATTGCAAAGAAAATCACATGCAATTTCTTATTAATATTTGCCCTGGCCAGGTGCAGGGCTCGCACCTGTAATCCCAGCACTTTGGGAGGCTAAGGCAGGCAGATCACTTGAGTACAGGAGTTCAAGACCAGCCTGGGCAACATGGCAAAACCCTGTCTCTGCAAAAACTACAAAAATTAGCCAGCTGTGGTGGCATGCTCCTATAGTACCAGGTACTTAGGAGGCTAGGCTGGGAGGATCACTTGAGTCTAGGAGGCCAAGGCTGCAGTGAGCCAACATCACACCACTGTGCTTCAGCCTAAGCAACAGAGTGAGACCATGTCTCAAAAAATAAGTAAATAAATAAATATTTGCCCTAATTTCCTTTAGAATCCTTTACTTTTTAGATAATACTGGTAATATCATAAAGCAAAATCTCATCATATATTTTTATATATTAATAGTAAACTCTAAAATCATTTATAGGTCTCATAGTTGCCTGGTTATATTTGTGGGTAAAGGAAACTTAGTAAAGTAGCAAATTCTTAAAAACCTATAGTTCCTTCTATCAGCTCCTTAAATTCTCATATTTTTGAAGGATAAGATGCTTCACTTCTTCATAATCATGTCTGAGTGACTGGAGAGTGAAGCATTTGTCAGTGTGACAGGGAAGACATAAATACAGAACCTTAAGGCCAATGAATGTAACTGCCTATATAACTTGAACAGTTTGAGCAGTGATTTAGTGTACTTCTTGATTCATTCCTCCCTTCTATGCCAAATTTAATAAAGTACTTTAATAGGAAGAAGAAATCAATAATTCTTTATATATAATCCCTTTTTGCTACACATTCTTTTTTTTTTCTTTTAACAGATTATTGCCTGGGACTTCTGCTCTAGACCCAAATAGTTCAAGAGGTTGAAAAGTTTTAGGATGGTCTGAATCATCAAATCACGTTCCCTGTTATCTTTTCTCAGCCAACACAGCCAGAATCAACTGCCTACCTTCATGTCCCATCCTATTCTTGGTGTCTCTACAATATAGTTATGATAAAACCTATTAATTATAAAGAAACATAAAGAAGGATAGGCTTGCATGCACATATGTGCATAGGTGTATGGGTAAAAGAAATTCTTTTTTATTCCCCTTAGAGACAGGGTCTTGCTTTGTTGCTCAGGCTGGAGTGCAGTGGTGTGATCATGACTCACTGCACTCTGCAACTGCTGGGCTCAAGCAATCCTTCCACATCAGTCTCCCAAGGAGCTAGGTCTACAGACATATGCCACCATACGCGAACACATTTTTTTATGTTTTGTAGAGATGGGGTTTTGCTATGTTGCCCAAGCTGGTCTCAAACTCTTGGCCTTAAGCAATCCTACCACTTCAGCCTCCCAAAGTGTTGGGATTACAGGCATAAGCCACTACACCTGGCAGAGTAACTTTTTGGCACTTGTTATACCCATTTGCTAGGTTGCTGGGCACAGAACTAATTTTAGTGAGTTGGAAGTATATAATAACCAAACTGGATGTTTTTCCCCTAGCTTCACTTTAAATGGTATTTATTTTAGAAAGGTACTTCCCCTCCCATATTGTTACTTTAATTGTACTGCTAAATGTATAGAATGTTTATGCCTTTACAATGGAGAGCATATGGATGGGTTTCCTCTGCTAATACTCTATATGTAAGCAGTCAAAGAATAGGTGTTTTCTGGACAGTACCAAATATTAGGGGTTGCCAGGGAGCAAAGTGTTGGAAGGTGTCCATTTTCCTGTTGTTGAGATTGCCCTGCAGACAGGATACTGGGATCAAGTAGCTCAATCAGCTCCACATCCTCTTGTAACAGGACTTCCTGTTGCAGGATGGTATGTAATGAGTCGAGTCGGAATCCAATATCCTTGCCATTAAAATACCAGAAGAGAGGTATTAACACATATATAATATTGCATTAAACGCTAAACTCCTAATGTACTAATAAAATTTAGTGGTGTTTATTTTCAGAAGATACTTCAAGAAGAAACAACAGTCCAATCTACCTTCAGTATGATAGATGAGTTTTATTTTCACTGTAAATGTGAAACAATAAAGATTGAGGTAGACATTATTGAGCCATCAGATGTAAAATATAAATTTTTAATAACAATATGAAAAGTAATTACAGATTAACAAACCTGTCTAGTTAAGCCTAATTGATTAAATTGCTAGGGCACAACATGGAAAATATAATCCTATAACATTAAAGATGCTGTCCCTGAAGCTGTAACAATACAGTCAATATTTAAGAATTTTATTAGCAGGATCAAGGCCTCCTAAAAATGGATATTCAGATATTTAAAAATACACTATTAAGGAATGCAGTGTAAAATCACACTAACATTTGCATAGCATTTTATAGTTTACAAAACGCCTTCACATATACCAGCTCATTTATTTCTCCCTCTCTTCTTTCTATTCATCTATCAAGGAATACCTTCCATAAGCTAGGCACCAGGCTTGACACCGAAGACACAAAATGAACAAGATATATTCTTAAAGAGTTCACAGTTTAATGAAGAGACCCGAAAAGTAAACAGTTGCAATATAACATGCAAAGGAGCGTGATGAAATACACCTAGAGTACTATGAAAATGGCATAGAGGGACCAAGCCTGTAATGAAGTCAGAGAAAGTAAAAGAGGTGAAGCCTGAGCTAAGTTTTAAAGGATGAACAAGAATCAACCAAAGGAGTTGGAGAAGAGGGACGGTACAGGATAAAAGCCTTTCTAATTTGGGGAACTGTGAGTTGTCAGTACTAGATGATATTATTAATAGATTGTGCACAGAGTGCACATGGTAGAGAGGTGAGAAATGAGGTAGCACTCTTAGGGCCGACAGGTGAATTTTCACGGTAACCCTGTGATGTACCTTATCCTCCTCCTCTCCATTATATAGGGAAGAACACCAAAGCCCAAATAAATTAAGTAACTTTCCAGAATTTTGATTTCAAATTCTACGCATTTGTTAGCTGTGTTTCCCTGCACATAGTCTGCCTCAAAAGAAAATTTAAAGTTGTATTTTGCATTAAATTTAAACAAATAGAGGCCAAGTGCAGTGGCTCACGCCTGTAGTCCCAGCACTTTGGGAGGCCAAGGCAGGCAGATCACCTGAGGTCAGGAATTCGAGACCAGCCTGGCCAATATGGTGAAATCCCATCTCTACTAATATACAAAAATTAGCTGGGCATGGTGGCACATGCCTGTAATCCCGGCTACTCGGGAAGCTGAGGCAGGACAATCTCCTGAACCCAGGAGGCGGAGGCTGCAGTAAGCCGAGATTGTGCCACTGCACTACAACCTGGGTGACAGAGCAAGATTCTGTCTCAAAAATAATTAATTAATTAATTAATTAATTAAAAAAACAAAACCAAACAAACAAATTTAGGACTAGAGTGATCCTACTATATGATAAAAATAAAGAGAACGATGGACAAGGCCATTAGCAATTAAAGTAAAACCCACTAGCTCTAGGGTGTGAAGGCAACAGGTTTGCTCTTAGTTAATTTAATCATTCCCACACCACACATTCCAGCCCTAGCTGATCACAATGAGGACTTCAGTAAGAATGTGGTGAACCATATATCAAACTGAGCCCATGACCTCTTGATCAGGGTTATATGCCACTTTTAGAGAATAAGATTTTTAATATTAGGTGCATTTAGATATATTTTATTTATCTTCAGTCCAAAAAGAGAGCATCTTCTCAAAGGAATGTTGATCTTTCTTTTAGCCTGATGTGGCTTTTTTTTACCATCTACTGACATACTCTGTATGTACCTCTGCAGCACTTTTATGTTTCATATTTGAACAATTGCCTCTTTTCTCTTCCTACAATTCCGATTCTAACATTAGGAACCACTTAATTTGACATCCCACTCCACTTTCACAAAGACAGAGCAACACAATTCCCTTTATACTATTGTTCAGAGGGGAGAAAAAAGGAGCGCAGGAGATGGGGTATGGTAGCTTTTCGAGTAATCTCTGAAATTGATCTTACTATTTGGTTCCCCAGTTAGACACAGCCATATTCAATGCAAGTATTAAAAATCAAACTTTTGCTACAAAAGCTTTAAATCATACCTTTTATGAGACTTCTATGTACATATATATAAGGTAACTTTGAAGAAGCCTAACTAGTTGAAGGCCAAGGCTGACAGAGACTGGAAAAGCCAGTAATATTCAACGGGAGTGCTCTCTCTTTACAGACACTCGGCGTAATCAGTTATTCACTTTCTTTAACACCATTCCCTGGCATCAGACTTACATGTAAAACTGGGATAACACCTCCCCAAAACCAACATGCTTAGAGGAAGTATTAACAGCTTTAGGAATAACTGATTTAAGAATGTGACAAACCGACTGGGCACGGTGGCTCACCCCTATAATCCCAGCACTTTGGGAGGTTAAGGTGGGCAGATTACTTGAGGCCAGGAGTTCAAGACCAGCATATTAGCCAGGTTTGGTGGTGTGCACCTGTAGTCTCAGCTACTTATAAGGTTGAGGCACAAGAATTGCTTGAGCCTGGGAGGCAGAGGTTGTAGTGAGCCAGGATGGTGCCACTGTACTGCAGCCTGAACAGTAGAATGAGACTCAGTCTCCACAAAAAAAAAAAAAAAAAAAAAAGTGATCAACCAACAACCTACAATCATCTATGCATACAAGTGAACTTGAAAGGCACCAAGACACTCCAAATAACTAAAACAGTGTTATCTTAGTGATTAGACTGCCTCATATAGAGGAAAAACTTGAACTATATTCTGATTACTATAGCTGTTTAAATTGAATCAGATTAATGAATTAAGTATCTTTCTTAAGGATAAAATGTAAAATTATATATTACACTTTGATTACAAAAAATAAGAACTGCAGAAAACATGTTAACTGTGTTACAATGTAACAATCAAAGTACCAGAAAAATTGACACCTGCAAATTAAGAAACATGTCATGACAGTCCTATTTGGACTGGGAAGCCCAGATCCAGGTCTCAAACAAATGAAGAAACTGAAAAGGTGCTAATTCTGATCGATTTAAGTATTAGCAGGTATCACTGGCATGGCTGGAGGCTATATGCTCCTGGGATGTGTACTACGTAAACTCTGGCACATTTTCAACAAGTCTGAGTGCCAAGACTTAGTGTCTAGCTTTATATTCTTGCTCCACAACTTAAGCATGTTAATAGGCTCTCTGTGCCAGTTTCCTCTTTGGCAAAATTGGGATAATAACAGTAGCTACTTCATAGGGTTGTTACGAGGATTAAATAAGTCAATATCTATAAAATACCAAGAGGAGTGTTTGGCTCATAGTAAGCACTGTATGTTAGCTATTACTGTTGTCACTATCTATGCAATAATTAAAACAATAAAGAAAAGCACATGTTGGATATATTACAATATAAAAACTTACAGAACACAACATAATTATTACCAGGTTGATGCAGAAAATAAGAGATACAATAGGCTGAAGTTTTGGGAAAACTTTGAGAAAAAGCTAGGAGTGCTTATTGAAAGATTCCAATGGATCAAGAAAAAAAAAAAAAAAACCAGAAAGAATTCCATCACAGTATAAAAGCACAAACACAGACATACAGAGTAAGTATGGAATAAAGGAAAATGAAGACTGGGTTCATTGATACAAATACTGGTGGACAAAGCTGGAAAGGTAGGTTAGGGCCAAATTATGCAGACTCTTTAGTACTGACGTGACAAATTTGGACTTGATTTGATTGACGAAGATCTTTCTAGAATCTAAATAGGGAAGTGGCATGAGAAAGTACTTAGGAATTCCTTTCTGCCTGGATGAAATGAAAGGTTATGAGAAGGCACAGATAAAAAATTAAGAGATTTTGATTTCTTTTTCCTTAGGGATGGAGAAGGAAACTTATTCATGTGTCAGTATTCTTTGAAGATCTTAATCACTGTGGAATATCATGGGGCTTTTGATATAAGGATCAAATGAGATAACATGTGTGAAGGTACTTTATAGGCTAAAAAGCACTTAAAAAGTGCTATTACCACTACCATCAAGGATTTTTTTAATTCTTAAGAAAAATACTATAAAAATGAACAATAGTAAAATGTTCAGATATCACAGAGCAATTGCCAGTATTCTTATAAAAGAAGTGAGGGCCTGCTTCAATATCTTCAAGAAAGATCAGCATTCCATTGAGATACTCTCTTTACTGAAGATAAATAAAATATATCTAAATGCACCTAATATTAAAAATCTTATTCTCTAAAAGTGGCATATAACCCTGATCAAGAGGACATGGGCTTAGTTTGATATATGGTTCACCACATTCTTACTGAAGTCCTCATTATATAGCTAACAACATTTTAAATATGTCACAATCAAGGGGAAAAAGTCAAGCAATCTCACGCCATTCTTATAAGAAATCTCACGCCATTCTTATAAGAAATCTCACTGGCAATTTCTTATTCCATTACTAGTAAACTATTCCTTAGGTATGTATTCTTATAGTTCTCCATAATGTAAGCACAAAAGGGATGCATACAGAAGCTGGCACTTTATAGTGAAACATCACATGAAACATGTGGCCAGTGACACAGAATCAGGAATGAAAAGACCAGGCCTAGGCAGACTATGACTAAATCACAGAAAAATGTATATGGATCCATATACCTTACCACAGTCCTAGTATCACTGAAGAATGAGATGGCTCCACCTGGATAAAAATGACATTCTATGTAGACGATAAGACACTTCATTGACCTTCTCAACACACCTTCAACAAAGATGAAACCCTGAACAAAGAACTTGACAATTTGGATTGCTAAAAAAGTAATTTTAGTCAGTCAAAAAATAATAATACTTGAGCTAGAGAGGTTGTATGCTATAGCAGAAAGAGCATGGCTTTGGATCTAAGAGACCTGGATTCAAATTCTGGCTCTATCACTTTCTAGCTGAACATTTTTAGACAATTCACTCAGTAAGTTATTAAAACAAAACGGAATTGTCTGAACCTTGGTTTTCTCATTAGTGAAGTAGACTAAATCTTATAGTGTTGTTTAGATTACCAAATCAAAATGTGAAAGCACTTTGTAAACAATCTCTTTACAAATGTTAATGTACAAGAATGATAATTCTTAAGGTCACAGGCCAGCAGAGATCCTGAAACCTGCTTACTTGTAACTACATTACTCCTTTACTCCTTCTGGGAGCCATGAGAACCACATAACTTGAATTTTTAGGCTATACTCCCTGGATTTTGTATTGTTAGGATGTCAGAAGGTTGAATTATTTCCCCTCTGGAGTTCTGTTACAGCAGAGAGTAGAAAAAAACAAAACCTCACAAAATTCACAAAGACCTTTCAGGTTGACTGTTTAGAGTCTTTGGGAAATTCTGTGATTTAACAGATTAAATTGATCCCACTAATGACATATTCCTTCACCTATAGAGAGGAATACCTGTCAATGGAGGAAGAGGGCAATAGTAACTTCACGATCTAACAAAGTTTCAATAACTATCAGAATATTCCATTCTGAGTGGCTAATAACCTCTTTAAAAGCTATAAATAATACAAGTCAGCCCAAATTAAAAGATCCTGAGTTACTGCAGAATCTCTAGTAAAAATCAATCACTGCCCAAATTGATAGCAAAACAAATTCTGATTCACCAATTCTTTCACTAATAACCTAGAACCCTGAAAAGTGACAAAAAGAAGTGACCACTTACCAACTTGTGAAGTAAGTCATCTTTCTTATTGCACTGAGAAAAAAAAATCCAACTTTTGATGGTTTCAGCCACTTTTAACAGGATACCTTGCTGAAGGAGACGAATGACATGGTATAAGATTATTAAAGCATACCAAAAACAGCAGAAAAACTTTCAGTTACTTACCTCCAATCAATGAGAATTTTTATCAGAAAAGGGAGAAAAAAATTGTCCAGGTTAAATACTTTGTCAATATGTCTCAGCCTCCTTATTAGTTCTTAAATTTTGTTGCATATCAGGATCACCTGGAGATTTTAGTTAGAAACATATTCTCGGGCCCCTAAACTAAAGATTGTGATTCAATACATTTGGATTGAGGCCTGAAAATCCGATTTTTACAGAATAGGTAGAAGTCATTCTGAAGCAGCCCATTTATCCTGGGAAGACCATGTACTATATCAACATGATGATAGTATTTATTTCAGAAAGAAAAATCTTTTTCTTTTTGAGAACTTGGTTACAAGTTCTCAAATATTAAGACCATTTCATTCCACAATACTAAGTCAAAAAGATACTTTGACCATTTTAGAAAAACTATCATATATTGATAAAAAAGTTTTACTACTGAATCAACCAAAAATTCAATTTACCTTAATAGCCCATTCCTTGAGCATGCCAGTAAGTGCAGTTTATATTCATTGAGTGATTACTATATCCCAGGTACTGCAAAGGGTCATGGGAAAAAAGATAAATACATATAACTGTTGTTTTCAAGAACTTAGTATAGAAGAAGAGACAATATAAAGAATTACAATCAATGTAAAGTCTGAAAAAGTATTGGAAAAGAAGAGGTCAGAGAGGAGCTAACACTGGAGCTCAGTCCTAATGGATGAGTAGGAATTCAACAAAGAAAGGAAGAACGGGCTGGGCGCAGTGGCTCATGCCTGTAATCCCAGCACTTTGGGAGGCCGAGGCGGGCAGATCACCTGAGGTCGGGGGTTCAAGACCAGCCTGACCAACATGGAGAAACCCCATCTGTACGAAAAATACAAAATTAGCCAGGCATGGTGATGCATGCCTGTAATCCCAGCTACTCAGGAGGCTGAGGCAGGAGAATTATTTGAACCCAGGAGGCGGAGGTTGTGGTGAGCCGAGATCGTGCCATTGCACTCCAACCTGGGCTACAAGAGCGAAACTGCGTCTCAAAAAAAAGAGAGAGAAGAATACTTCAGTCAAGGGAAGAAGATGAAGGAAAGAGCCATGAAAACACATGCCACAGGGTTGGTGGCGCACGCCAGGACAGTTATGACCCAAGGGAAGAAGGAATTAGTAAGGAAGTTAAAAAGGTACACTGAGATAGGTTTTAAAGGATCTTAGTCTTATACACTATAATAGTATGAACATTATCCTGTAGGTTGTGAGGAGCTACCAAAGATTTTTATGCAAGGAAGCGAAACAATAAAGAAAAATAATTGGCAATAGTGCAGAGGCTAAACTGGCAGGGAATGATTGTAGACAAAAAGCATGAGTAAGAGGATATTCAAGGCTGGGGGCGGTGGCTCCTGCCTGTAATCCCAGCACTTTGGGAGGTCGAGGTGGGTGGATCATGAGGTCAGGAGTTCGAGACCAACCTGGCCAACATAGTGAAACCCCGTCTCTACTGAAAATAAAAAAATTAGCTGGGCGTGGTGGCAGACACCTGTAATCCCAGCTACTCAGGAGGCTGAGGCAGGAGAATCGCTTGAACCCGGGAGGCAGAGGTTGCAGTTAGCTGAGATCGCACCACTGCACTCCAGCCTGGGCTACAGTGCGAGACTCCATCTCAAAAAATTAAAAAAAAAAAATTAATAACCCAGCTAAATAACAATAAAGGCCTTTAAATTAGGTAATGAGTACAAAAATGATCATGAATAAGAGTTAAAGAGACATAGAAGCTGACCTGATGTATCACTTGATGACCAAGGCTATGTCAGCACGATTGGAAATGGTATGGTAACTGAGAGTGTGGTGATTTGGGACTATTTAAAAGAACATTTTTTGTTTGTTTGTTTTGGGGGTATCTGAGAGGGTGGTGATTTTGGACTATTAAAAAGAATATTTTTTAGCTTGTTTGTTTTGGGGGTGTCTGAGGAAGTCCTATTTTAGACAAGTTGAATCTGAGCTTTGTGGGGCACATGCAGATAAAAATGTCTAAGAAGCAACTGGAACTCAGCAAAGACTGAAGAACGGACATAAGTGGCAAGAAAGTAGATGAGATCCCCAGAGAAGACACCAAGACAACAAGAAGCCTGCTGCTAAAACTCTATGGAATGAATTTAAGAATAATCATAGGAAAAGAAACCAGAAAAAGAGACAGAATGAATATTCATAGTAAGAATATCAGGGCAGACTACTTAACAACTACTAATAAGCATATGCAAAAGTAAAGTTAAAAAAGAGGCTAAGGATGGTTTCATTAAGAACTCATAGAAAAATAGCTTTTCAGAGGAAATAATTGATACTTTATTCCTTGAAAAGAATTTTGGGAGCAATTCTAAACATACATTCCCTGACAATGAGCTAAACAATATAACAAGTTTTCTAAAATTTAGCTCTCCCCAAATTAGGAAAAAAATTGGTCGGGCACGGTTGCTCACTCCTGTAATCCCAGCAGTTTGGGAGGCTGAGGTAGGCAGATCACTTGAGGTTGGGAGTTCAAGACCAGCCTGGCCAACATGGTAAAACCCTGTCTCTACTAAAAATACAAAACTTGGCTGGGCGTGGTGGCCTGTGCCTATAATCCCAGCTACTTGGGAAGCTGAGGCAGAATTACTTGAACCTGGGAGATGGATGTTGCAGTGAGCCAAGATCGTATCACTGCACTCCAGCCTGGGCGAGAGTAAGACTCCGTCTCAAAAACAAAAACAAAACAAAACAAAAAAAACACACAAAAAAAGGAAAAAACTTCATTTTAGAAAAACATAGATCCTACAGTTAAAAACTTGTCTTAGAAATGTGCAATATGGCTGGGTGTGGTGGCTCACACCTGTAAGGCCAAGGTAGGAGGATTGCTTGAAGTCAGGAGTTTGAGACCAACCTGGGCAACACAGTGAGTGGCAATTTTTAAATCTCTACAAAAAATAAAGAACAAAATTAGCTGGGCATGGTGGCACATGTCTGTGGTCCCAGGTACGTGGGAGGCAGAGGTGGGAGGATCACTTGCGCCCAGAAAGTGAAGGCTGCAGTGAATTGTAATCATACCACTACACTCCAGCCTGGGTGATAGGGGAAGACCCCATCTCAAATAAATACATACATACATACATACATACATACATTCATACATACGTACATACATAAAATGAAGACAAAACAAACTTTTTAGACATACGATAATTTTTTTAAGACAGGGTCTTGCTACGTTGCCCCGGCGGGTCTCCAACACCTGGGCTCAAGTGGTCCTTCCGCCTTGGCCTCCCAAAGTGCTGGGATTATAGACATGAGCCTTTGTGCCCAGCCTGGTAATTTTTTAAAACAACCTCTGGCTATGCTTTTTATTGTTCCTCAGTTTCTGAGGGGATTCAATTTTAAACTCTCACTTGACTTATTTATAAACTAGCAACAACATTTCTAAATATAAAAATACTTGTCATAAATGACAATAATACCCATAAAACCCAAGTTTGTATCAAAACAAAACAAAACAAAAAATTAGAGGTAAATGACCATCTGCTGCTCTAAGACTATCCCCTGGCCATTCTTTGTTTTGTGTTGCCAAGTAACCTCAAATCCAAGCTTATTAAACAGCCTATTATATACAAACCCCTTCCCAGGAACATTTATACTTAAAAAGGGCACAGGGAAGAAATGGTATCAATGGAGGACTAGGAAAACTGGTTCTGTTCCATGCGAACTCTAATCCTAACTCTCATCTTCTGGGTGTTAGTCAAAAAATTCTCTAGTGTTTACTTGGCTGTTACAAATGGGCCAGCTTGGTTACCTTACATTTTAGGTGTCTTTGTAAGACGATTGGGGAAAGGATCCTTATGCCAATCCATACTTTCCCTGTAAATGACTAATTGAAAGCTTTAAATGCTCTTCTCAATAGTGATAAAACCCTGATTAAACTAGAATGCTCAAGGAATGAGGAAATTTGGTTATATTTTTTCTATTAAATTACAATTCCTTTGGTTAAAACTAAAATGTAGTAGACAGGTACACAGAGGTTAAGAACATAAACTCTGGGAGTAAACTACAGGTTCTAATCCCAACTCCACCTCTTACAAGCTAAGTAACCTATGATAATTTATAATCCTCCTATGCTTCAACTGTCTCACCTAAAAATAGATTAAATATTTTTATTTTTTTATTTTTTGAGACAGAGTTTTGCTCTTATTGCCCAGGCTGGAGTACAATGGCATGATCTCGGTTCACTGCTACCTCCGACTCCCAGGTTCAAGTGATTCTCCTGCCTCAGCCTCCTGAGTAGCTGGGATTACAGGCGCCCGCCACCACGCCCAGATAATTTTTCTATTTTTAGTAGAGACAGGATTTCACCATGTTGGCCAGGCTGGTCTCAAACTCCTGACCTCAGGTGATCCACTTGCCTTGGTCTCCCAAAATGCTGGGATTACAGGCGTGAGCCACCGCACCTGGACCATAAATTTCTTATCTTAGTAAACATGGCTAGCAGGACATAAATGAATCTAGAAAATGCATTTTGTACAACACAATTAATGGAGATTTTTCTAGTATCTCAGCTTCACAATGCTGGGCATCGACTATAAGATATTTACTGTATAAATGTATTTTATAGATTAAAAAAGGTACCAGAAGTTATACTCACTCCATTATATACCCCTGAAACTGTGTTTAAGAAATATCAATTTGCTTTCTTGTAATTTATACTTTAAAAAAAAAAAAAAAAAAAAGATTTAAAGAGAAAAAATCCAGTTAGTAGAGGATTCCTATTAGTTGTGCTCTCATTAAAGTTTTAGTATATTTTTTCCGGTTCTGTTTGGAGAGCATCAATATTTAAATAAGTAATGTATTTTAATTCTCTACCAAATTATTTCCTCACTGGATATAAATTACCTACAAAATATTCCAAAGCAGTAAGGATTCATGTTTATCTAAACAGAAAGTTTTGTACTATTGATGAAATAAATAGTCTTACCAGTGTGAGGGAGGAAATGGAAGTGCTTAAGAAGTATCTACATAGCCAGTAAGGTAAAGTGCAAAAGATTCAGCCAGAAAGAATGAGCATGCTTTCTTACTTTTGGTAGGACTCTTGTAGGAGGCTTTTGCTGTCCCTCTGTTGTGCATTTTTCTGTTTTTGGTGACAAAGAAGAACATATTTCAAAGTCTGTGTGTCCCAGATCCTGTAAGTATTGGTAAAGTGGAGAATTCTGAAAAATACATAAAATAAAGCATATTTCAAGATTATTACTATTTCAGAAGTTTCGGAGGCCAAACTTAATACTAGACCTTCACTATTGTGACCAGTATGTCCAAATTCTTTAAGGTTTCTTCTATAAGAACTGAATTATCTGTTATAATACAATGCCATTTAACACAAACAAATCAACAAACAATTCAACAGAGGAACCCAAAAAAGGAAAAACTCTAAATAAAACACACAGATTTCTTTTTGAGTGAGTACCAGCAAGAAAAAATGAATTTAGAAATGCAAATAGATTGTTAAGCAATTTCATTGCCCTAATTGTTAACAGTCTTAGAGTAAACTGCTTCAGAATAGCCGATGTTAGTTACAGATAACTCAAACGACAATGTTATTACTCAAAGCCAAGAATACTTAAACAATGATTATATTGTATGAATTATAATTTTTTTTATCATCCCATCATATTTCTTAATTCATTCAAGCACAAATACCTATTATCTACCATATGCTCAGCACTGTGAACAAACTTAAAACTCTTCAAGAATGTTACCTTGGATAAGCTATACCTCACATACGAGCATATGACAAATAGGACACAGTACGGCTAACAAAAGCATTAGAACATAGAGGTTAAGAATACAATCTGCTGGGCGCACTGGCTCACGCCTGTAATCCCAGCACTTTGGGAGGACAAGGTGGGTGGATCATCTGAGGTGAGGAGTTTCAGACCAGCCTGGCCAACATGGTGAAACCCTGACTCTATCAAAAATATAAAAATTAGCCAAGCATTTGCCTGTAATCCCAGCTACTCAGGAGGCTAAGGCAGGAGAATCACTTGAACCCAGGAGGCAGAGGTTGCAGTGAGTCGAGATCACACCACTGCACTCCAGCCTGGGTGACAACAGCAAAACTCCGTCTCAAAACAAACAAAAACCAATCTACAGATTCAAATCCCAACTCTGCCTCTTACTAGCTAAGTAACCGGGAAATGTATAATCCTTTTGTGCATCAGCTGTCTCATCTAAAAATAGCAGTTAACAGCACTTAGTTCATAGAGTTCTTATGAAAATTACATTAATATAAGGCATCTGGAACAGTCCTTGCCACATAGTAAGCACTCCATTTATACTTTTAACTATATATAAGCTATGTGGAAAGAGCACAGATTTTTGGAACAGACCTCTAAAAAAAAAAATCACCCCAACTCTATTGAACAGAAATATCAATGTCACTACTGGATGAAAATCTACTGGACAACTATTTCTGAACAGCAAGCTTTAATTTTAACTTTCAACCTTCTCTAAAGCATACAGTTGGTGACACGTTTAAAAATAAATCTTGGCTGGGCGCAGTGGCTCACACCTGTAATCCCAACACTTTGGGAGGCTGAGGCAGGCAGATTATCTGAGGTCAGGAGTTCAAGACCAGCCTGGCCAACATGGTGAAACTCTGTCTCTATTTAAAATACAAAAATTACCCAGTCTTGATGGCGGGTGCCTGTAATCTCAGCTACTCAGGAGGCTGAGGTGGGAGAATGGCTTGAACCTGGGAGGCGGAGGTTGAAGTAAGCCGAGATTACGCCATTACACCCCAGCCTGGGTGACAGAGCAAAACTCTGTCTCACAAAAATCAATCAATCAATCAATCAATCAATCAATCAATCAATCTTGATTCCATGCAATGAAATATTTAAATCTCCAAAAAGACTGTAATTAGGTTTCAGAGATAAAACAACAGAAAAAAAAAAAAAAAAAGAGCAATACAGTTAAAGTACTATGTGGCAAATTTGGCAAATTCTTAACTAAGTATTTTACTTTCATCTTCTAGGTTAAGGTTCACAACAATAAAAGGTATTATTATCACCATCATTATTATTTTTATTCCAATTCCACAGATGAGGAAACAGGTTCACTCAGTTAGAAAAAGCAGGATAATACTATATTACTTAAAATAAGAAACAGTCCTTTCCATGTCTATTAAGGAAGACACCAAAAAGTTACTTACAGTTCAGTACAAATACAACCGAGCAAATTAACAATGTCAGGAAAGTATTTAGATGCTATGAAAACAGGAGAGATAGCTAAGATAGACCAAGACATTTAGGGAATATATTCTTGCATTCAGAAGACTGAGGAAGAGTGGGAATCTGCTGGACTGGTAGCAATTTGTGGAATAACAATTTGAGAGAACAGGAATTGAGTCAAATGCCTTTCTTTTAAGCTATGTTTAATCTCTTTTTTAAAGAAAATATTCAAAAAAAAGTAATATAAGGAAAATATGTTTCTTATCCCTCTACCAGATTTAAAATTTCTGGCAGCACAAATGGTTAATCTTGATATCACCCATAACGTATATTCAAATATTACCTTGAATTACTGAATCTGCATTTTCAAAGTGAACTGTGAACCCCACCCTGCTCTTGCCCCAGTGGGGGCAAGAGAACAAGAATGCCAGTTCATTTGTTTGGGCTGACCTTACATACTTTAAAAAAAAACATTGTTTTTAAGGCAGTAGAACCCTTTCTTCAAATGAACTCCCATGGGGAAGAACAATAAATAAGATGGATCAAAGGGAAGTTACTCTAACTCTGGGTCAGCAGCCTTTTTCGGTAAAAGGCCAGATAGTAAATATTTCAACTCTGCAAGCCATATGGTCTCTGTCACAACTAATCAAGTCTGCTGCTGTAGTGAGAAAACAGACACAGCCAATACATAAACTAATGAGTATGGCCATGTCCCAATAAAACTTTACTTATAGACACTGAAATTTGAACTTCATATAATTTTCACATGTCACAAAATATTCTTTTGATATTTTCCCTAGCTGTTTAAAAACATTTTTAAAACCTGCCATACAAAAATGGGGGTACAGGTCACAGTGGCAAATCCGGCCCAAAAACCTTAATTTGCTGACTCCTGTTCTTTTTGTTTTCTTTTTTTCTTTTTCTCTTTCTTTCTCTCTCTCTCTTTTTTTTTTTTAGATAGGGTCTCACTGTATTGTTCAGGCTGGCCTAGAACTCCTGGGCTCAGGCTGTCCTCTGGCTTCAGCCTCTTGAGTAGCTGGGACTATAGGTGCAAACCATCCTGCCCTCCTCTTCTAATAAAAGACTCAGTCAAAACCAGGAGACATATTCTTGACTGCTAAGTGTTCTCGGCAAGAGACTTAGAGAGTTGAGATGAGTACAAACTTTTTATTGAGATTATAATGCCCTTTTTTACTGTACACATAGCTAATACTCTCATCACTGACCCTAATGTCCTTTCCTTTTTCACTTTATGTCACAGATCACAAAATAACAAAATACAGTATAGTTTTTTTTAAAATGATAATCAGAAGAGAAACAAGAATATTTTGTTCTTCAAATATGTTCTGTATATAAGCGGAGGGCACATATACATACTCAGTTCAGATCACCATAATCTGGAACACTTGCTATTTCACATTTCACAACAGCAGCACATTAATCACTCACCTTGTATATCACAGATCATATCCAACAGTATCATGTGATACAGCAAATTCTACCAGTAGCTTATTCTGCCTTTTCTCCAAATAAAACTTCCCATTAACTTTTTGACTGGTTTCACAGGCTTCTTGTTAAAGGTGTGGCACATCCATTTGTGCTATATAACTATAAGTGATTCCTCAGTAGTTTTGGTTTCTTCCCCATCTTTAGTAACAGATCAGTTTTATCTCAGAAAGCACTGTTTTACAGTTCTGGAGAAATCTGGCTTACCAAGGTGATCACCATACTTTGTTTTATGACTGTATGTAACAAAGTATTTGACAAAGTTTCATAGAAGACAACCTTTGGAGACTGAGGTGAATGTACTGCAGGTTCAATAAAATGTAATTTCTAGTTATCTACTAGTTATATTTCATATTTGTATTTTTCTATTTTTCTATTTTCTACTAGTTATATTTCATATTTGCATTTTCTATTTTTGGCTGTTAGTGCAAATCACATCACTTCCTAACACATGTAAACCCAGATACCGTATGAACACTATGAACACTCAAGTTCTATTCATTATGTTTACATTAATTCTTTAAAAATGTTTAGGAATAAAATTGCTATCAGTTTTTCTCTGAAACTGTCAAATAACTTGTGTATTATTTAATAGATCTCAGAAAACCATATCCTGACCAGTAGTTCTCAAATTTTTTGGTCTCAGCTCTCCTTATAATCTAAAAAATTATTGAGAGCCCCAAAGAGCTTTTGTTTACATGGACATCTAATGATATCATATTAGAACTCAAAAGTAAAATTTAAAAAAAAATTACCATTTTACTTGAAGATAGCAATAAACCTGTTACAATGTTAAACATATGTTTAATGAAAAAATTCTCCAAAATGAAAAAAATTCCTAGAGAAGAACACATTGTTTTACACTTTTTGCAAATCTCTTTATTGTTTGGCTTAATAGAAAATTGCTGGATACTTATATCTGCTTTCGCATTCAATGTGTTGTAATTTATTGTTTTGGGTGAAGTATACAGAAAAATCAAGGCTTACACAAATAATATAGTTGGAAAGCCAGAAGTATTTTAAGTCTTTTCTGATCATTGTAGCATCAAAGAGGAATAGCCATACCAAAACAACAAGTAATAGTTTCAAATAGCTAAATGTTAATATAGAATATCCAACCATCTGACGAGCTTTTTGTACTCTGTACATGCACATGAGAATGGGAGTGAAAAAGGCAAATAATGTCTTATTATTAAAACCTGATCATCCAACATAAGATAATTTATTTTGACATTTTTTTTCTTTTACAGCAAGGAGGGGGTCCCTATTGCAACTGTTCTGACCACTATATTTAGAGGTTTTGGGATATTAGGCTTATACACTAATAAATACAAGGAAATGTTTATTTTTCATAAAGTATTATATGGCAGCTTTAGAAAGGGGTGTTTTTGTGTGGAGGGTAAAGCAGAGTAGATAGTTGTCTCTATTATGACTTTTCCTTGGTTCAAGCAAAATAAAACCACAAATGTTTTATT